CTTGTATATCTCTATATATGATCTTGCATGTGAACTGGCCTTCTGGCCTTTGAACTTGTGCTCGGAATGTGTGGTGACTTTGTGATCCACCCTGAGCTTTGCTTTGCTTTGCTTGACTGGTCTTGTGACCCCTTGTTCTCCCCCACTTTGCCTATGGGGGTGTGTCTGAACATTATAGCTTATATATATTTGTGTAGGCTATAGTGGGGTATCCCATAGGGGGTACAACCCAATCAGGGTTTCCTATATGTACTCACTTCATTCATAGTTGATTCATTCTCGTTCACTTCTTCTCAGTGGCTACCGACAAACATGACAGCGGCGCCGGCGAAGCTGGAGGCGACGGTGAAGCTGGTGGCGACGGTGCAGCGGGCGACGAGGAAGACGTGTTCCCCGACCGTGACGAGGACGAGGACGGTGTGGAGTCCTGGTGGCGCGACGCACCACGCGCGAAGATGACGGTACCGACGTATCCGCCCCTTAACAAAAAACACCCCCACCCGTCTACCGAGAATCGAGATGCCCGCCCCCCCTCCCCCAGGCACAAGCTGAATCAACATAAGCGGCAGTGCTACACCGCCCAGGAGAAGTTGAGGTGGCTCTTGCGGCTCGAGCTTGCGGCTTCGGTGAGCGAAGTGGCGCGGGAGTCAGGCATACACCGAAAATGTCTGACAGAATGGAAAGCCCAAGCGGAGGCGCTCAAGGCTGCACACGGAGTACGGATGCGACTTCACGGGCGCGGGAGGTCGTCTTGGTACCGCCCCATGGAGTTAAAGGTGTACGCGCAACTCCTCGAGTGGCGACGCCGCGGAGTTGCGGTTTCGGTCGGCCGGCTGCAAGAGTGGTCCAAAGAAGTGATGAAGGTTCTATACCCGGACGTCAAGTGGAAAGGCAGTCAGCGGTGGACGGAGCGGTTCCGCAGGCGGTGGAACCTCAGCGTGCGCATGAAACCAAAGGTGGCGCAGAAAACACAGGAGCGTAAGTGGGTCGTTTACTGCTGATTTTGGTTTATCCCGATCACGCTTAGTTTTTTTTTCGCATGTCTCCTGTGCGTCATACTAATTTGGTTTACTATATGTACTTTTCTCCCTGTTCCGCAGACGTGGCTGAGCAGTGCAATGATTTTTGGCAGTACGTACGTGACGCCCGGAACGAATACGACATTGACAACCGCTACATCATCAACGCCGACCAGACACCGCTGTGGTTGGAGATGCCGGCGACGACCACCGTGGAGCAGACGGGCGTGAGGTCGGTGCCCATCCGCAGCGGTGGGTACCAGAAGGAGAGAGTGACCGTCATGCTTGCGTGCACGGCGATAGGAGAGAAGCTGAAGCCGTGGGTGTTTTTCAAGCGCAAGACACTCCCCAAGGGTGACTTCCCGAACGGTAAGTGATCGTCGCGCGTGTTTATTCCCGTTACTACCTGAGTCGTCAACCGTTCTTTTTCGTTGCGTGCAGATGTTGTGGTCGGCTGCCTAGCGAACGGGTGGATGGAGGCCGCAGGCGTCATCGAGTGGCTCAACACGGGCGTGGTGCCGTTCCTGAAGCCGAAATTTGGCCTGCAGAGTCGTAGCGCCATGCTGGTGCTCGACTCGTATCGCGGTCACCTGACACCAGAAGTCAAGGCGAGATTCGCGGCGCTCAACATCGTGCTTGCTATCATTCCAGCGGGTTGCACGGCAGACCTGCAGCCCCTCGATGTGTCGATCAACAAGAGCTTCAAAGCAAGCATTTGTCAGCAGTACCAGAATTGGTTTGAGGAGGACGGCATGAACATCCTGACCCCGGCAGGTGAGTGACGGCATGTGCTCCCGTCTGCAAATCTTGAGCTTGAATGCATGTTTCCTTGTCTCATGTTTTCCCTGCCCCACTCCGTGTGATGCAGGGAGCATCAAGAAACCACCTCCGGAGGTGGTGCTCAAGTGGATTTCACGGGCCTGGAAGGCGGTGCCCGCCGACCTCATCAAAAAAGCCTTCCTCACTTGCGGCATCAGCAACGCCCTTGATGGGAGCGAAGACAAACTGGTGCTGGCGCACCGAAGGTGCCAGTTGTCCCATGAGGTGGAGGTGGACGACGACATCCAGGCAGATGGGTTCTGGGCAGGCCCTCAGATATCAGCGTAAAACACGCTGATTACGCTGATTTTGTAGCTCAGATTTTCGTTTTCCCTGAAAATTCAGCATATGCTTCAAATTTGCACTGAAATTTCAGTATAACATACCTTGCCACACTGGCCATTTTCCGTGTTGCTGTACAAGTAACACTGACGAATCAGTGTAGTGTCGTGAGTCACACTAAAACGGACTAGACCGATTCGGGGTGGTACGCGTGTGTACAGTCTGTACCTGGCCCGGGATTCACGAGACCCCACTAAGCTGTACCTGGCCCGGGATTCGTGAGACCTCACTCACACACTTAGGGCGTGTTCCTACACCTCGTATCAGACACATCTCGTATCAGCTTCGCGTGGTTAAATAATGTTTCAGTGTATTCAACTGCGGTTGGATGCGTTTTAGTGCGTTTCGACGCGAATCTGATACGAGGTTGCCTGATATGAGGCTGTAGGAACATGCTCTTAACGATGCATGCGCTGTACAGATCGCACGCCGACGTGTTCTGTATCGCTGGAAGGAGCTCTCACAGTGACAAATTTTGAATGGGAAATTCAACTTTGTATTTCTTTTGTACACTGATGGTTCAGTTTACTTATAACTTTTACACTGGCAAAATCAGTATAAAGAAAACCATGAACGTTGATTTGGACACCTGGGCGACCGGGGCACGCTGATCCATCAGCATACCCTCAAACCAATCTGAGGGCCTGGTTCTGGGGCAACAACTCCACGGAGCCTGAGTCGGACGAGGAGGAAGAATAGGCAGTAGGGTAGACTAGGCAGGTTGAAAGGTGTGTAGTGCAGGACAGCAGAGACCACCCTTGTATGTGATTGTCCAACTTAATGGAAAGTTTAAAAAATGTAGGCTAGGTAGGTAAAAAAAAATGATATTTTTTTTAACTAAAAGGGTGCGCTTATAATAAGTCAAGATTTCCAAAGGGGTGCGCTTATAATTGAGGATCGGCCATAAGCGCATTGTATTAGAATGGACTAAGATACTAGCGGAAGCTTTAGTAGTCTTAGAACCTCCTCCTAAAGCCTAGGAATCCTAGGAGCCCACTTGGGCATGAACCATGCTAGAACCAAAGTGGTTTCCAAAAGTGAAATGCCAACAAGAGAGAACCCTCACCTATAGGGTTTGGGAGGTGGTCCACTCTAAAGAGTGTACACCACAAGTTCTCCCAACCCAACCAATGTATTCTACACTACCATAGTGTAGATGTACCACTACATATGTTTATTGGAGCAACCCGAATTAACCTTAATTCCAACACCCCCCCTTGCTCCAATAAGCATTAAAGTTCACCCATAAATCAAAATACAACCCCTATAGCGAATGAAGCCTTGGCCTTCGCAGCCATCACTCGCATGCCGATGCGCTCCAGGTTCTCATGCAGCTGCAAGCTTGGAAGAGCTTTGGTGAGCATGTCGGCATCCTGGAGGTGGGAGCGTACTGAGTGCACCTCGACCTCCTGCTGGCGCACCGCATCCCGTACAAAGTGCCATGCCACCTTAATGTGCTTGGTGCGCTGATGGAGAACGGGATTGTGGGCAAGGGAGACAGCTGCCTCATTATCACAGAGCAATGGAATAGCCCCCCCATCCCCCACATGCATCTCTGCCAACAGACTCCTCAACCAAATGGCCTCCTTGGCCCCCTCCGATAGAGCTTTGTACTCAGCTTCAGAAACGCTTGCTGCAACACTGTCTTGCTTTTTGCTATACCAGCTGATTGCTCCTCCTCCCAGCTTAAAGATGTAGGCAGAGCGACTCTTGCCATCAGTCTCACCACCCCAATCCGAGTCTGTGTACCCGACAACCTGCTCACCACCTTGGCGCTCATACCTGATGACACGATCAGCTGTGTCGACCAAGTACCTGACTGCTCTCAGTGCAGCGCGCATGTGAATGCGTCTTGGTGCCACGCAGGACTGTGCAAGGGTGTTGACAGTGAAAGACATGTCAGGACGGGTGGTCACAGCAGCATACATCAAGCTGCCAATGAGACTCTGGTACACCTTGACATCAGCTGCAACACCTTCCTCAGTTGACCAAGTACCATTCCTGATCTTAGAGAGATCATTGGGTGACATTGGAGTATGCACCCTATGGGTCTCCTTCAGCAGATCACCAAACCTTCCCTAGAGACCACGGACATACTTCTCCTGACCAATCTCCAACCACCCATCCTTGACCGACCTGCGAACCTCCACACCAAGGTACATGGATAACTCACCTAGATCCTTCATCTGGTACCTCTGAGCAAGCACCTCCTTGACCTGACCGATCAGCTCCAAGCGTGGAGACACAAGCAAGAGGTCATCCACATACACCAATACATACACTGGCTCTTCATCCACAAACCTGATGTACAGAGCCTCATCACATGCACTGCGGTCTAACCCTGCTGCAATCAAGGTGGTACCAATCTCCTCATTCCAAGCACGAGGCGCTTGCTTGAGCCCATAGAGAGCTTTGCGCAAGCGATGCACCCTACCTGTACCATCATCAAATCCCGCAGGTTGCCTCACATACACTTCCTCTTGAAGGAGTGCATTGGGGTAAGCATGATCAACATCCTCCTGTTGTACATGCCACCCTTTTACCGCGGCTTCTGCAAGAAGCACCCGACCTGAGGTCAGCTTGCCCACAGGGGCAAATACCTGATCATAGTCCTTCTCAGGCTCCTGAGTGTACCCCTTAGCAACAAGGCGAACCTTGTGCTGTACCACCTTATCCTCCTTGTCAGTTTTCATGCGGAAAACGTACCGGACCCCAATGGCCTTCTTACCTGGAGGTAAGTCAACCGGCTCTGGATCCCATACACCCATAGTGCGCATTGCATTTACCTCCTTCTCAGCGCCTGCCTTCCACGCAGGGCCCTCAGGGCCACGCAGGGCCCTCAGGGCCAAGCAGGGCCTCAGCGAGTGTGCGTGGGACATCACCTATGCTCACACCTGCCAGTGCAACACCTTCCACCTCCCTGGCCAAACATAGCATGCCCTCAACCACACCAGCACCCCCCCCTACCTCCTCACCACCTGTACCAGACTGGATACCAAGCACCTGCAAACCCGTAACCGGTGGTGGGGAGGTAGTCGCTGGTGACGGAGGGGCACCCGTAGAGAGAGGGATAGAGCGCTGACTAGAGGAGGAGGAAGAGGAAGTAGCCTGTGTAGCGGATCTCCGCTGAATGACCGAGGGGCCACTGAGCTGCTGCAGAGGGGTGGGCTGCTGCTGCACCGACACACTCAGCGGTGCCGGTGGCAGTGGTGAAAGTGGCATCTCAACGTCGTCAGCCGTTGCTGAAGGTGGCGAGAGTGGAAGAGGGAGGAGTTGGGAAATTGCAGCTGCATCCTGCAGAAGCTTCCCAAATTCCTTTGCCTTGTCCCAATCCTTCCACATCACATTCTCAAGGAAATCAACATCCCGAGCAATGCGAATGCGCATGATAGAAGGGTCCAGCAAGCGCCAACCCTTGCTCTCCATGTCCACCCCAACACAGACACACATGACAGCCCGTGCATCAAGCTTGCCACCCTTCTCTTGCCCATGCAACATGACACTCCCCATGCAACCCCAAATCCGAGCCATGCCCACATGCGGCTTCTGGCCGGACCACGCCTCCATTGGTGTGATGGAGGCAGGCAAAGCACTGTGGGTGACCCTGTTCTTAACCCACACGACCCACATCAATGCTTCACCCCACAAGCGAGCAGGGAGACCACTGTCGACCAACAATGTGCGAATCCCCTCTGCCATCGTCCTGTGCCACCTCTCCACAACCCCATTCTGTTGCGGTGTATCTGCGACGCTCAATTGAGTTTTAATGCCAAACTCCGCCTTCCATGCTTTTACAGCTTCCCCCAAGAACTCGCCACCCCTGTCCGAGCGAACAGCCTTCAGCTTCCGCCCACACTCCAACTCCACGTCCTTATGGCACTGGCGAAGGACTTTTGCAACTATGGCCGATTCCTTGTTGGGGAGGGGGAACGACCAAACTCGTTTGGTGAAGTCGTCAATGAGACTGAGGACATACACCGCTCCTCCCAGTGATGGTGTGCGCACCGGCCCCCACAAATCCATGTGGACCTCATCCAAAGGCCCAAGTGCTCGAGACGCCTCATGGGGAAACGGCTTCCGAGCCGACTTTCCCAATAAGCAGGGCTCACATGGGGAACAATCAGTGTTCCCCCCCCCAATCTCAAAGCCTAGTACACTGTTCCCCCGAGCCATCTGTTGCAATGTTGTGGGGGCGGTATGACCAAGGCGGCGATGGGCAAGGGTCAATGGGGAAAATGAGGAGGACGACTTAGCTGCAAGAGCACTGCCCTGTGTGCCCTGAGCAAGAGGAAGAAACATCCGCACCAATCCATGGTCCCTTCCCCTCTCCTTTTCTCCAATCGCCAACACCCGCTCCCCCCGTTGAAGGACACATCTCTTGCCTTTGAATGTGACAATGACATCTCGAGAGGTGAGGTGTGGGACTGACAGCAGACGCGTGTGCATCTCAGGCACAAGGTGGACCTTTTGAATCCTCAGCAGCTGACCTCCAGCACCAACCACTGGCACCTCACCCATGCCAACAGCTTTCACCACCCGTCCATCTCCCAATCTAACTCCCCGAACCTCTGGTGGTTGAAGCTTACTTTTGAAGTCCGATGCATAAGGAGTAAAGTTGTGGCTGGCCCCACTGTCAATCCACCACCCCTCTCGCGGCTGCTCCTTTCCCACTACTGCAACTGCTTCTCCAACCACTGCCTCTGCCTTGTCATCCTGCTCCTCCTCATCCGCCACCTGTGCCTTGCCGTTGGACCCACGACCCCCCCCCGCTTTAAGAATGCCGGAATGCCTCCCTTAGGTCGATGAGGACATCGCTGCCATGCATGTCCCTCATCCCAACAGCCATGACACAACCCCCGAGGAGCCATGCCCTTGGACCCCCAAGGGAAATCAAGCACTCCCGCTTTGCCTTTCCCTTGACCCCATCTGCCCGAGCTGGTGTCACTGCTGCTACCGCTGTCTCCATGCTTTCCTCCCTTGACCCAATTTCCCCTGCCGCTGCTGCCCACTTTCGTACCCGCTCCAAATGTGGCTACACCATCCGATCTTGGTGCGACACCAATCCGCATCTCCTCGCTCCTCAAGGAGGTAAGCAGCTGATCCTTAGTGAGCGATGATGACTGGTTGTTCAACACCATCTTCAGCATCTCAAAGTGAACAGGTAGTCCTTTGAGTACCCTCATCATCCACTCCTCAACCTCCTCCTTTCCTCCTGCAGCCAAGTACTTGGACCTCAAGTCCTCGGCACGCGCCCAGTATGCAGCCACCCCCTCCCCCTCTTTCATCTTCAATGAAGAGAGCTCCTCAGAGAGTGCCATCCGGTTACACAATCCACGCTGAAGGTAGAACTCCTTCACTCGTATGTATGCCGCTGCTGTGCCTGCAGGAATTCGGGTGACCGCTCTTGCTCCGCCATCAACAGGTGCGCTGCCCAACTCGGTCTTGCCGCCGAACTCCCGTACCAAGCGAATTAGCTCATCTGGCACCAAGGCATTGCAGAATTGAGCGGATGCCTTCTGATTTTTTCTCTCCCACTTCAGCCGTGCGTCACCCGATCCAGGCCGCTCCTCCGAACCATCAAAGTACCCCCATAGATCGTGTGCCTCTGCCCATTGTTCGAATCGGAAGCTCCAAGTCCAATAGTCGCTCCCGTCGAACTTTGGCGCACTCTCCAGCTTCCCTTCACCTGAGTCATGATCCATTTGCGGCAGACACTCTGGAGATTGACGTTGAGGTGGTGGTGGAGGCAACGGCGGCGGTGGTGGAGACGATGTGGACAGATTTGCCCCCTCTTGGTTTTTGGAGCGTAACTCCGCGCTCAAACCTCCGAATGATGAGCCGTTTATCTCAGATGAATCTTTGCTCCAAGACCGTTCCGATGATGTATTGCACTCCTGGATCCCGCTTTCAAGCTGGCCGCTTAAACTCGTCGAAGTTGGCCGATTTCTCGTCAACGAAGACTCAACCGTTTCTCCCGATTTTTGGCTTGTTGGATGCGCCCTGGCCTCCTCTATCGGCGTCTGGCCTCCAATCTTTTTTCCGCGCTTTAAATCTTCCCCGATTCGCGATTTTCCAATTCGTCCGCCGGCAGTTTTTCGCGAATTGCGTCCGATCCCGTCGTTGATTGGTAACGACCCTGAGGCAATCGTTGTAGAGCGTGCTAAAACCTTTCCAACGGTATGCTGCACGTTTTGATCGGCCAAAGTTGACTGAGCGCCTCCGTGGATGGATGCCGCTCTTCTTGTCCTCCCAAACGGATCCACACGATTTCCAGCAGTTTTCTTCTCTCCTCCTTCCCTCCCACGTCCAGAGTCCGCCACGGTGCAATTTCGGCAGCCCTTTGGGAGGAATGGAAGCTAACTAGCTTCCACCAAGATCTTATGGTCCAATGTCTTGAGTAACTCCTATTCCAACAGATTGCTAGGCCTTCCTTGCTCTGATACCATATTAGAATGGACTAAGATACTAGCGGAAGCTTTAGCACTCTTAGAACCTCCTCCTAAAGCCTAGGAATCCTAGGAGCCCACTTGGGCATGAACCATGCTAGAACCAAAGTGGTTTCCAAAAGTGAAATGCCAACAAGAGAGAACCCTAATCTATAGGGTTTGGGAGGTGGTCCACTCTAAAGAGTGTACACCACAAGTTCTCCCAACCCAACCAATGTATTCTACACTACCATAGTGTAGATGTACCACTACATATGTTTATTGGAGCAACCCGAATTAACCTTAATTCCAACACATTGCTCCAGATACAAGCGCATGCGCTTAACATAGGCCTGCGCTTCTATCCGGGGCCATACGGTAGATACCCTCCTAGCATGATTTCGTAATCAACATTTAGCAGAAATCAGCTGCTTTTAGCCTACACTTTCCTCGTTGTTGATACCAACCAATGTGAGAATCAAGTGATGCAACTTTTCCCAGACGCAGCGGGTTAGTAGATGATTGGATGCAGAGTGCATTTGCTGCTAAGTACCTTGAGAAAAAGCACCACCACCTGCTGTTGTCCATCCTGTACAGCTAAAGACTAGTTGCATAAATGAGCTTCCGCATCGGTTAGGAGAATCTGAAGGAGGTGAGTTCGAATAACCCACAATTCCACAAACAGACACAAAAGCCTTCCAGTACCAAGAACCAACCCCACTGGAAGCGAGGTCAGTGCCGAAAGTCCAACCATCCCAAGATTGTGCAACGGTGGTTGACTTTGCATATATGCGTGTGAGAGTGAAGTGAGGAAAAAGTGTAGATGGTGTCGAAGGAAGAGCCAGAGAGGGAGGAAGTGCAGGCCTGCAATTGCCATGACTCCAACCGGGCTATGATTGACCAGAATGGAGGGAGGTCAAACGGGGGAGAGAAGACAAGCAAAGAGGCCATGAAAAGGTGACTTATAGAGCTAGCGCAGAAAATTGGAAGAGAGTGAGAGTGATCATGCAATGAAGGTGATGATGGTGGGTAGCCAATCCATATTAACTATGACATGACACCCTAGAAGAACCATGACTCTGCTTATCCCACACCCACATCAGAGAGCATATAATATAGCCCACAGCACAGCCCATGTCACGTACGTTTTGAAGCCATTCCGCATGACCAGAGAGACCAGAAGCGGACTGTCGTTCTTGCCACCCCACACGTCCTTCCAGTTGCTCCTCTCCTTCGACCGCATCTTCAACCCTGCTCCCTGCTCCACTCCTTTCCCTCTACTATCATGCTCTTGTCCTTCCCCCACCCCTTGCTCTTGCTCTTGCCTTGCCACTCCAACCCCTCCCTTAGCCCCTTCCGCAAGTGCTGTGGTGTCGTTGCCATGAGCACGTGTTGCACTGCCACTGCCACTGCCACTGGCACTGCCAAGCGTGCTGGCATGGGAGCAGGCGAATGTGAACCATTCCACACATGGGATTATGATGGCGGCTGCTTGCAGCATCCGTGCACTGTTTATGCCTAACACACTCCCACCAGCACTGTTCATGCCGAGCCTGACACTGTTCATGGTCAGCATGGCACTGTTCACGGCAGCCGCCCACATGGCGGTGCGCAGTGCGTTATCGACAGCAACGTCCAGGATCGCACCAAACGCCGACACCTGGCGCAGGCGGCGAGCCACGACGCCATCCACACCGTCCAATGCCATGTTGAGCAGATAGAGCAGCGCACACAGCAGCACAGGCATGGCATGGGTTGCAAAGGGGGAAGCGTGTGCACGGGGGTAAACGGATGCATGCGCGTGGGCTATAGATGGGAGAGAGGAGGATGCGGAGAGGGTGGAGAGGTTGATGGGGTGAGGTGCTGAGAGGGGGAGGTAGAGGAGGAGGGTGAGGAGGAGAGCGATTCTCAGGTACCCAATGATGTTGGGCCAGAAGAGCAAGATTCGGACCACTCCCTGCTTGCCACGCGTCCTGAACGTGTTATTGTCACTCTTGACGTCATCAGATGACGTTGAGTCTTCAGAGAGACACCTGCTTTTGTTCCTGACTGGTTCCTCACCAGTAACTGAGCTACTAGCGCAGTTTCCGTCACCGTCACCGTTACCGTCACCGTCAACGTCGCTGTCCTCCCTTGAAAGAGTACGATGATCGACGCTTGGGCTGGCTTCACCGCCGTTCCCATGATGGCTACGCGGCATCGCGGCTGCATCAGTCGTCCCCGGCTGAAGCCCGCTAAATCGCCAGCCGATGCCAGCCATCCCTTCTATTCCTCGATATAACCTCTCCCTATATTGTGCCTCTCGAATCCCACTAAAACGGTGCATCCATTTCCAATTTTCCCACGAATGATCAAGCCTGTCATTTGTCCTGCTCGAGCTGGCAAGTCCCCGCACCGCTCTTCTGCCATACAATGCTTTTCTCCCCACAAAACATGTCGCACCGATGACTTCCGCTATAATTTCTTGGCGAAAGGCTGTTCGAGGCCAGACGGCCTCGCGGTGCGTCCTAGCAGGCCGTAGACGCGTTCCGGAGGAAAGTGATATTGGAGAGTTAAAAGCGGGAGCCGGCGAAGCCAGAGCGTGTACTGGGGGGCACCTATTTCAGCCGATCCGTGAGCTTACGTCAATGTCATGACACTTTATATAAGCGAAACGCTAGGTGAAATGAGAATTCTATGGATCACACTTCATGGTTGAACGCGTCAGTGGATTTTGATTCGTTAATGAAAGTGGTGATAAGAGTCAACACTTTGGCTTATGTATCTGTATTATGAATCTAATTGTACAGCACTTACAATTTGGGCTCACGTGTAATTTGGCTGCCTTGCAGCTTCGCTGCTTGCCAGAACGGAACTTGGTGCAATCGACGCACAAGGCAGCATAGCGCAACAGGCGATGGGCGGCAAAGAATCTCAAGGGCAGCCATCATTTATTCAGGTGCCCGAAACTCCCTGCTACAACACCCATCAATCTGCCCGTCCAACCAGCTCTTGTCGCACTTTCAGCCAATCCTGCCGATCGATCATTCGTTCTAGCTTGCCCGCCAGTCGCACCTTTACATGCACGCGCGCCGCCGACCAGCTGCGCTGCTGCCCCTTTACTTCTCCGTCTTGCTTCCTGCGTTACTTCGTTCGTCCTTAGCACGCGAGGTGTTCGGACGTCCATTCCTCCCCCGATTCCTAGGAATCTAGAGCAGCAGCGGCCAGGGCGGGCAGACAGAACAGAAAGGTTAGTTGCCAACCAGTCCACATGCCAGCACAGGCACACCCTCTTGCATGAGCTTAATTATAGCAGTAGGTAAATAGGTGAGAGTGTTCCCAGATTTGAGCTTTCACCTGTTGCGGTGCTGCTTGCACGAGCGGAGTCGCACGGTAGCGTGTGATCAACGTTACGCACGCATGCGTGCTGACGAGGCTAGCTACTCCGGCTCGACTTCAGTCCAGGCGGCTCGAGGTTATCAGCGTCGTCGGTTCGGATGGGAGCGCTAGTTGTTCTTTTTAGGCACCTCAATAGACGACGCTAGCCACTCTGGCTCGACTTCCGTTCAGACGGGTCGACGTTGGGTCGACGTTATCAACGTCAATCAGTTCCGATGGGAGAGTTAGTCAATTGTGCGACTGCGGTGTGTCATCGACACTAGTGTGTTGAAACTAAGTAGAACAACCAGCAGCCGTCAAGTGTCGTCTTGACCGAATTCGTCGGGCGCGAGACCGTGAGACCGAGGCCTACAGGAGGCGAGGAAAGTAAAGTCTCGCTCCCCCATTCCGTACTACGCGTAGTGCTTTCTGCGTAGCCGAGTCGCATCTACCCCCCAGCCAGCATCCGCGAAAGCAACCGTCGCATGCGGGACGTCGAATAGTTTGCGACGCAGTCGCTTGCGCGTCGCTGAGTGAGAGCGAGGGTCGACTGTTAGTGATCGCGCCATTTTCAACCCCGCTAGAGGTCGCGCCGCCCTGTCCGTTCACTGGAAGATGCCATCCTACCGTCTGCCTCCCACAAGAGCAGCCGCAGCGCGCGCTTGCCCCCAATTCCTTTCGAAACTAATCTAGACGGAGTCTTGCGTATCAGGCCGCGGTTTGCACTGCTGCCTCCGGGCCCCTTAGGCGGATCAGCAGGGTACTAGATTGAGTGCGGTTGTTGCGTATGCTCTACTATTTCGCGCACCTTCCTTGGACTTTTTTGTAGACTCAAAAGTCATCTGAGAAGTCGGGAAATCTGCTGTCTCGACGGCTGCTAGGAGGGCTTCTTGCACAAGGCGCCTCGACAAACAATTCCGCTTTCGCCGCGCGCCAAGTCTAAGTGGTTGCTTCCACCTTCCCCGCCGCCCGCATAGTCTGTCTGCGCCTCCCCCCATCCGTGCTGTTCCGCCTTCCCCCTAGTCGGTCTCCGCCTTTCCGCTTTTCGGACCTGCGCTGGTTCGCTTCGTGCGCATTCCCCCTCTCCCCGTCTCCCCGTCACTGCGCCATGGCGCGGAGTTGGATGGTCGGCGGAACTGCGGTGGCGGCGCTGGCGTCCGTGCTGGCGGCGTGCGCCACTGCGCTGCACGCGAGTGGCGGAAACATGGGGTGAGACAGGTGTGGGGGGGCCAGAATGGATGAATGGAACCGAGACTCTAGTGAAGCTCTCACTCGGAAATAATCCGGAAATTCGTATGCATGAGCATCTGTTATGAGAGGTAACCACGAGCAACGTCACTCCCCCCACCCTCCCCCCAGGCTGCACCCCATGCCGCGCATCTTTCCCTTCCTCTGCTCCTTCGAGGACGAGATTAGAGACGTCTCAAACATCGTGCCAAAACCCCGTCTTCCCCCCATCAACCCCCACCCTCCCCCCAGGCTGCACCCCATGCCGCGCATCTTTCCCTTCCTCTGCTCCTGCGAGGACGACAAGCTTTGTGATGTCTCCTCCCCCCCGCTTTACGCCCTCCCCTTCTCCGCTTTACGCCCTCCCCTTCCCCGCTTTACGCCCTCCCCTTCCCTGCTTTTCGCCCTCCCCTTCCCTGCTCCCCTTCCCCCCAGGCTGCATCCCATGCCGCGCATCTTCCCCTTCCTCTGCCAATGCGAGGACGAGCATGGCGTGCTGGACGAGGGCATCGCGCGCTGCCAGCTCGCCAGGTGCGGATGAAGGGGGAGGATGGTGGGGGGGGAAGGGAAATGGGGTTACAAAAGGAAGAACATGGCGTGCAGCAGGGGGAGCAGCGGACGAGCACGGCGTGCTGGACGAGGGCATCACGCGCTGCCAGCTCGCGAGGTGGGGGAAAAGGGGAAGCGGGGAGTTGGGGTGGGGTGGTTGTGGATGTAAAGGGGATGTAACATGGGGTGCAGCAGGGGGAGCAGCGGACGAGCATGGCGTGCTGGACGAGGGCATCGCGCGCTGCCAGCTCGCCAGGTGTGGGGGTGCACGGGGTTAGGGGTGAAGGGGTTGGGGGTCAATAGAGGGGGTATAGCATGTAGTGAGTCGGTTTTTGAGTCGACTCAAAAACCGACTCACTACACGAGGTGTGGGGGTGCACGGGGTTAGGGGTGAAGGGGTTAGGGGTCAATAGAGGGGGTATAGCATGCCAGCTCGCCACGTGCGCAGGTTGGGGAGTGAGAGGAAAGGGAGAGAGAGGGAGCAGGGGGGGGGGAGGGAGTGAAGGGGGAGACGGTTGGGGGAGAGAGTGGGAGATGAGGGAGAGAAATTGTTGCACGCTTTTAGGTCACCAAAAGGGAGGGTGAAGAAGAGAGGTTGGGGCAAGGAAGGGAAGTGGACTTCGCTGTTGCTCTCCCGCTCCTGATTTTTGAGAATTCTTAAAAATCTTCTCTGTTGCTCTCCCACTCCCTCTGCCCGCACAACGGAGAGAACGCACTTTCTCGGCGAGTTTCTTTCTCTTATTTCTCCTCCCCCCCCCCCCCCCCCCCCCCCCCCTCTCTCTGCCCTGCCCCCTGCCCCCCACTCTCTCCCCCAGCGACTTCCTCATAGCTCTGGCCTACTTCTCCATCCCATTGGAGCTGCTCTACTTCTTCCTGCGAGCAAAGGTCTTTCCCCACCGCTGGGTGCTGCTGCAGTTCGGCCTCTTCATCGTGCTCTGTGGTGAGTGAGCCCCCTTGCACCCGCTCATTTCTCTGTGGTGAGCCGTGCACCCTTGAGCTTTGAGTCGACTCAAATTTTGAGGCGCCTCAAATTTTTTTGAGACGCCTCAAAAATCCCTTGAGCTTTGAGTCGACTCAAATGTCTTCCCCAACTGTCGTTTGCTGCTGCTGCTGCAGTTCGGCCTCTTCATCGTGCTCTGCTCTGTGGTGGGACTTGCACACTCCGCATTGCTCTGCGATGAGCTGAGCGTCATTCTTCAGCCTCCCTTCTCCCTCTCATTTCCATCTCTGCACCCCTCTCTCTCCCCACTCTCCCAGGTCTGACTCATCTGGTGAACATGTGGACATATGGTCCCCATCCCAGTGCAGTGGCAGTGCTACAAACAGTGCTCAAAGTGCTCTGTGCGGCTGTCTCCTGTGCCACGGCCTTCCTGCTCGTCACCATCATCCCTGCTCTGCTCAACGTCAAGGTGTGTGTGCGGTGGAATTGGGTGTGTTCAGCACGTTAGGTACACTAGATGCTTCTGTTATCCTCCTGTGCCATGGCCTTCCTGCTCGTCACCATCATCCCCGCTCTGCTCAACGTCAAGGTGGGTGTGCGTGCAGCCGTGCTCTCTGTCAGTGCATTGCTTGCAGCAGTCTACTTTTGAGGCGCCTCGAAAGTAGACTGTCAGTGCATTACTTGCAGCAGGTGCAAGCGGATTCCCCTGGAGGCTCTTAATCGCCCTGGAAGCCTGCTGCTGTCTCCTGTGCCACGGCCTTCCTCCTCGTCACCATCATCCCTGCGTTGCTCAACGTCAAGGTGGGGTCTGGTTTCGAGGTGTGCTGTGCAAGTCTGTGCGGCTGTGTCCTGTGCCGTATTTCCTGCTCATCACCGTCATCCCTGCGTTGCTCAACGTCAAGGTGTGTTGTGTTAGGCCTCTCGCGCGAAAGCACGTGCAGCAGGTATGTTGGGCGCAAGGAGCAGGTGGGGGACCCAACCCACGCCACTTGCGCATGCCTCAGACCCCCAATCCTGCACGCATTCCCCTGCACTGTGCAGCACAATTAGACAGGGAGATGGATGTGATGCGGCACACGGAGGAGAGGTGCAATCAGGGCACGTGTGGTAATCCAGTGCAAGGTGACTGTTGAGTCGACTCAAAAGTCACCTCGTGTGGCAATCCAGTGCATGCCTCACATTTTTCAACATCTCCCCACACTGCCTGCCTGCAGGTCCGGGAGTTGTTGCTGCAGCATAAAGCGGCACAGCTGGATAGAGAAATGGATGTGATGAGGCGAAAGAAGGAGGTGGGGCGGCACGTGGCAAACCAGTGCATGCCGCAGAATCCCAGTTCTCCCATCCCATCCCATCCCATCCCATCCCATCCCATCCCATCCCATCCCATCCCATCCCATCCCATCCCATTCCCCACTACTTCTTTCCAGGTCCAGGAACTCTTCTTGCAGCACAAGGCAGCGCAATTAGACAGGGAAATGGACGTGATGAGGCGAAAGGAGGAGGTGGGGCGGCACGTGCGCATGCCTAGGGATATCCATTCCCCCGGCCCCCCACACATTCCCCATTCCCTGCCTGCCTGCAGGTCCGAGAGCTCTTCTTGCAGCATAAAGCGGCCCAGCTAGACAGAGAAATGGACGTGATGAGGCGAAAGGAGGAGGTGGGGCGGCACGTGCGCATGCTGACATACGAGATCCGCCAGTCGCTGGACCGACACACCATCCTCAACACCACCCTCGTGGAGCTGGCCCAGGCGCTCATGCTGGAGAATTGCACCATCTGGATGCCTCACGCCTGTGAGTAGCCCTTGAGAGTGGTGTTACCAATCAAGTGCCTGTGAGTGCTGCTACTTACCAGTCGCTAGACCACCACATAACCCTCGTGGAGCTGGCCCAGCCGCTCATGCTGGAGAATTGCACCATCTGGATGCCTCACGCCTGTGAGTGCTTCTACCTATCCAATGGCGGCTGCCTGTGCGTGCTGCCTGGGCGTGTTGCCTGGGCGTGTTGCCTGGGCGTGTTGCCTGGGCGTGTTGCCTGGGCGTGTTGCCTGGGCGTGTTGCCTGGGCGTGTTGCCTGGGCGTGTTGCCTGGGCGTGTTGCCTGGGCGTGTTGCCTGGGCGTGTTGCCTGGGCGTGTTGCCTGGGCGTGTTGCCTGTGCGTGCTGCCTGGGCGTGTTGCCTGGGCGTGTTGCCTGGGCGTGTTGCCTGGGCGTGTTGCCTGGGCGTGTTGCCTGGGCGTGTTGCCTGGGCGTGTTGCCTGGGCGTGTTGCCTGGGCGTGTTGCCTGTGCGTGCTGCCTGGGCGTGTTGCCTGGGCGTGTTGCCTGGGCGTGTTGCCTGGGCGTGTTGCCTGGGCGTGTTGCCTGGGCGTGTTGCCTGGGCGTGTTGCCTGGGCGTGTTGCCTGGGCGTGTTGCCTGTGCGTGCTGCCTGGGCGTGTTGCCTGGGCGTGTTGCCTGGGCGTGTTGCCTGGGCGTGTTGCCTGGGCGTGTTGCCTGGGCGTGTTGCCTGGGCGTGTTGCCTGGGCGTGTTGCCTGGGCGTGTTGCCTGGGCGTGTTGCCTGGGCGTGTTGCCTGGGCGTGTTGCCTGGGCGTGTTGCCTGTGCGTGCTGCCTGGGCGTGTTGCCTGGGCGTGTTGCCTGGGCGTGTTGCCTGGGCGTGTTGCCTGGGCGTGTTGCCTGGGCGTGTTGCCTGGGCGTGTTGCCTGGGCGTGTTGCCTGGGCGTGTTGCCTGGGCGTGTTGCCTGGGCGTGTTGCCTGGGCGTGTTGCCTGGGCGTGTTGCCTGGGCGTGTTGCCTGGGCGTGTTGCCTGGGCGTGTTGCCTGGGCGTGTTGCCTGGGCGTGTTGCCTGGGCGTGTTGCCTGGGCGTGTTGCCTGGGCGTGTTGCCTGGGCGTGTTGCCTGGGCGTGTTGCCTGGGCGTGTTGCCTGGGCGTGTTGCCTGGGCGTGTTGCCTGGGCGTGTTGCCTGGGCGTGTTGCCTGGGCGTGTTGCCTGGGCGTGTTGCCTGGGCGTGTTGCCTGGGCGTGTTGCCTGGGCGTGTTGCCTGGGCGTGTTGCCTGGGCGTGTTGCCTGGGCGTGCTGCCTGGGCGTGTTGCCTGGGCGTGTTGCCTGGGCGTGTTGCCTGGGCGTGTTGCCTGGGCGTGTTGCCTGGGCGTGTTGCCTGGGCGTGTTGCCTGGGCGTGTTGCCTGGGCGTGTTGCCTGGGCGTGTTGCCTGGGCGTGCTGCCTGGGCGTGTTGCCTGGGCGTGTTGCCTGGGCGTGTTGCCTGGGCGTGTTGCCTGGGCGTGTTGCCTGGGCGTGTTGCCTGGGCGTGCTGCCTGGGCGTGTTGCCTGGGCGTGTTGCCTGGGCGTGTTGCCTGGGCGTGCTGCCTGGGCGTGCTGCCTGTGCGTGCTGCCTGGGCGTGCTGCCTGGGAGGGAGTGCTACCACTAGATGTGACAGTACGTGCTGTATCGAATCGACTAGAGATGTGGCTGCGGTTGTGCTGATTGCAGCACTCTCTTTCCAACTCCTCTTTCCACTTCCCCTCTCTCCTGCCCCTCCCATCTCTCTCCCATCAGCCGGCCCTTTTTAGAGCTGACACACGAGTTGGAGCGGCGGCTAGTGCAAGCACCGGTGCTGGTCCCGCTCTGCGACCCCACAGTGCAGTCGCTCATCCACACGTCCCGCGCCCTCCGCATCTCCCCCTCCTCCTTCATCGGCCACGCCTCCGCCTCCCACACTGCCCACAGCACGTCCCTTGCTGCCGTTCACTTCCCCCTTTCTCCCACCCCCCCACCACTGCCCCCCCTCCCTCTCCACCAGCTGGTTCGCATTTGGAGCTGACACACGAGTTGGAGCGGCGGCTAGTGCAAGCACCGGTGCTGGTCCCTATCCGACCCCACGGTGCAGTCGCTCATCCACACGCCCCGCGCCCTCCGCATCTCCCCCTCCTCCATCTCACCTCTCTTCACGTTCCCGCTCCCTTTTTCCCCTTCCCTCCCCCCCCCTCTCGCACCAGCCGGGTCCTGTTTAGAGCTGACACACGAGTTGGAGCGGCGGCTAGTGCAAGAACCGGTGCTGGTGCCTCTCTCCGACCCCACGGTCCAGTCGCTCATCCACACGCCCCGCGCCCTCCGCATCTCCCCAACCTCCTTCATCGGCCGCGCCTCTGCCTCCCACACCGCCCACAGCACGTCCCTTGCTGCTGTGCGCCTGCCTATTCTGCCCCTCGAAGCCATGGCTGATGCTGCTGCTGCCGCGGCGGCAGCGGCAGCGGGTGCGGGTGCGGGTGCGGGTGTGGGTGTGGGTGTGGGTGCGGGTGGGGTGGAGGCAGCTGGTGAGGATGTGGATGGGAGTGGAGGAGAAGGCAGTCCCTTGCTTTGGAGTGGTGATGGTGCTGCAGCAGCAGCAGGAGGGGAGGGTGGGAGTGGTGGGGCAGGAGAGGAGAGGATAGGGGGAGTGGTGCCGGTGTATGGGCTCATGGTGCTTGTGCTGCATGGGGATGCTAGAAGGTGAGAATTGGTGGGTGTTGAGTTGATCTGTAACTAGTCAATCTAACAGCCAGTGATGGTGAGGAGTGGTGGGGGAGGCGAGGAGTGGGTAGGGGGAGTGGTGCCGGTGTATGGACTCATGGTGCTTGTGCTCTGTGCTCTCTTCCCCTCAACTCTGTGCTCTCTTCCCCTCAGCTCTGTGCTCTCTTCCCCTCAGCTCTGTGCTCTCTTCCCCTCAGCTCAGTGCTCTCTTCCCCTCAGCTCTGTGCTCTCTTCCCCTCAGCTCTGTGCTCTCTTCTCCTCAGCTCTGTGCTCTCTTCCCCTCAGCTCTGTGCTCTCTTCCCCTCAGCTCTGTGCTCTCTTCCCCTCAGCTCTGTGCTCTCTTCCCCTCAGCTCTGTGCTCTCTTCCCCTCAGCTCTGTGCTCTCTTCCCCTCAGCTCTGTGCTCTCTTCCCCTCAGCTCTGTGCTCTCTTCCCCTCAGCTCTGTGCTCTCTTCCCCTCAGCTCTGTGCTCTCTTCCCCTCAGCTCTGTGCTCTCTTCCCCTCAGCTCTGTGCTCTCTTCCCCTCAGCTCTGCCTCACCAGGCAGTGGAAGGCGCACGAGGTGGAGATGGTGGAGGTGGTGGCAGACCAGGTGGCAGTGGAGATGGAGATGTCCATCTCCCCTACCCTACGACTCCTGTAATCTCATCTTCTCTGTCCCCTCCTCTTCACGTCCTTCCTCTCTCCCTTTGCCATCCATTGCAGGCAGTGGAAGGCACACGAGGTGGAGATGGTGGAGGTGGTGGCAGACCAGGTGGCAGTGGCTCTCTCACACGCCGCAGTATTGGAGGAGACGCAGGTGAGGGGTGAGGAGTTAGTTGTTGTTTTGGCTTGGAGTTAAGTAACCCTAAACCCCCGGCTCTTTCTCATGCAGCGGTGCTGGAGGAGATGCAGGTGAGGCCGAATAAGGGTAATAAGTTGTTGCTTCAGACTTAGTGGGTGACTGGGGGTTCCAGGTGTATGGGTTGCAGTGGGGGCAGGGGCCGACACAGCTAAGGAACTGCAAGAAGCAACTTTTTTTTCTCCCTAGTTCTTCCTCTCCCACTCAGTTGTTCCTCTACCTCGCCTCTGCCTTCCTCTTGCTATTCAGCTGCGAAGAGACAAGTTGGAGGAGAAAAACTGAAGGCTGCAGGCAGGCAGCATGGCAGCAAGCAGAGGTGGCAGTGATGGCGAGGAAAAACCGTTTCCCGATTCCCCTCTTCCCATCCCTTGTTGTCCTCTGCTTCCCATCCCTTGTTGTCCTCTGCTTCCCATCCCTTGTTGTCCTCTGCTTCCCATCCCTTGTTGTTCTCTGCTTCCCATCCCTTGTTGTCCTCTGCTTCCCATCCCTTGTTGTCCTCTGCTTCCCATCCCTTGTTGTCCTCTGCTTCCCATCCCTTGTTGTCCTCTGCTTCCCATCCCTTGTTGTCCTCTGCTTCCCATCCCTTGTTGTCCTCTGCTTCCCATCCCTTGTTGTTCTCTGCTTCTCTACTCTCCCTTCAATCAGCGGCGGAGGGACGAGTTGGAGGAGAAGAACCGCACGTTGCAGGCAGCAAGGCAGCGAGCAGAGGTGGCAGTGATGGCGAGAAACGACTTCCTGGCCGTGATGAACCATGAGATGCGCACTCCCCTGCACTCCATCACTGCTCTTGCTTCCATCCTCAATGTGAGTTGCTGAACACTGTGCCCTGCTGTTGAGGCCTGTTGAAGTGAGAAGGCAGTGGGCAGTGGGTAGAGGGCAGAGATGGCAGTGATGGCGAGGAACGACTTCCTGGCTATGATGAACCATGAGCTGCGCACTCCTCTGCACTCCATCACTGCTCTCGCCTCCATCTTCAATGTAAGTGTAGTGGGCTTTTGCGAGAGGGTGCATGACATGAGGATGTGGGAGAGCATGTGAGAGAGCATGTGAGAGAGCACGTGAGAGAGCTTGTGAGAGAGCATGTGAGAGAGCATGTGAGAGAGCATGTGAGAGACCATGGGAGGGCACTGTGCAGTAAATGGTTTTCTGGCAGCGATGGCAAAGAACAACCTTCTGGCACTGGTGAACCATGAGCTGCGCACTCCCCTGCACTCCATCACTGCTCTCCCTTCCATCCTCAATGTGAGAGCACTGTGTGGGAGCAGTGATTGTGGGTGGAGGCACTGTGTAGTGAATGTCTTTCTGGCTGTGATGAACCATGAGCTGCGCACTCCTCTGCACTCCATCACTGCTCTTGCTTCCTTCCTCAGCAGGAGATCCTGACTGACCCCGGAGAAGGCACCCATGTTGCCCGGGGCACTGTTTCACTTGAGTTTTCCCACTATTCACTGCTTCAACCCCCCTTCCCAGGAGGAGGACCTGACCCCAGAGCAAGCACCCATGGTGGCCACTGTGCTGCGCAGTGCGTCGCTGCTCATCTCATTGTAGTGACACCCGCACCCACTTGACTACCCACCCTCCCCTTTGCCCTCTCCCACCACCAGGAGGAGGACCTGACCCCGCAGCAAGCACCCATGGTGGCGACTGTGCTGTGCAGTGCTGTGCAGTGCTGTGCAGTGCTGTGCAGTGCTGTGCAGTGCTGTGCAGTGCTGTGCAGTGCATCCCCTCACTCCTTTACAACCCCTCCCCTTTTCCTCCCCTCCCCTCCCCCTTCCCCCCCCTCCCCTCCCCCCTCACGCTCCACCAGGAGGAGGACCTGACCCCGGAGCAAGCGCCCATGGTGGCGACTGTGCTGCGCAGTGCGTCGCTGCTGACTTCCCTCATCACTGACGTGCTGGATTTCAGTCGACAGGAGGAGAGGTGAGAGGGAGGTGGGCGAGGGAGGTGAGGGAGGGGGGTGGGGGAGGGAGGTTGTAGGTGCTGCTGCTGTCCCGTTCGCTTCAGCACCCATGGTGGCGACTGTGCTGCTGCGCAGTGCGTCGCTGCTCACTTCGCTCATCACTGACGTGCTCGACTTCAGTCGACAGGAGGAGAGGTGAGAGAGAGGTTATGCAGGTGCTGTTGCCAGCCACTCTGTTGAGTTCGTCCTCTATACACACTCTTGCTCCTTAGCGGCTTCAGCGCCGTCGGTACTGTGCCATGCTGTGCCATGCTGGGCTGTGCCATGCTGTACTGTGCCATGCTGTGCCATGCTGTACTGTGCCATGCTGTGCTGTGCTGTACTGTGCCATGCTGTGCTGTGCTGTGCTGTGCTGTGCTGTGCTGTGCTGTGCTGTGCTGTGCTGTGCTGTGCTGTGCTGTGCTGTGCTGTGCTGTGCTGTGCTGTGCTGTGCTGTGCTGTGCTATACTGTGCCATGCTGTGCCATGCTGTGCCATGCTGTGCCGTGCTGTTCTGTGCTGTTCTGTGCCGTGCTGTGCCGTGCTGTGCCGTGCTGTGCTGTGCTGTGCTGTGCTGTGCTGTGCTGTGCTGTGCTGTGCTGTGCTGTGCTGTGCTGTGCTGTGCAGTCCACATGCACCTACCAGTTGCACTGTTTAGATATTACTCAAGTCCAGTTGGTGCATGTGGAATGCTGTCCAGTTTGGACCTGTTTTTATCGACTTAACGTCCTCCCACCTTCCATCCCCTTCTTTAACTCCCCAACCGCACACCTGACGACCCCAGTCTGCATCTGGAGAAGCGCCCGTTTGACCTGCGAAAGCTGTGCAGAGAGGCTGGGAAGCTGGCGTGGCCGCTGGTGCGGTCCAAGGGGTTGCGTTTCTCCCTGGAGGTGGCGGGGGTGGTGCCACGGTTTGTGGTGGGGGATGAGAAACGGCTGCTGCGGTTGATGCTGCACCTTGTCGGACGGGCCGTGAAGAAGACCGATGAGGTGAGCGAGAGGAGAGGAGAATCAGACGACCGCTGCACCTCCTTTGGTGGGGGGGGGCTGAGAGAGGGGGTGGTAGCGAGTGGCATGAATGGAAGGGACAAGCAGCGTTTTGAGACGTCTCAATAAAGGAGTGTTTTGAGACGTCTCAATAAAGGAGTGTTTTGAGACGTCTCAATAAAGGAGTGTTTTGAGACGTCTCAATAAAGGAGTGTTTTGAGACGTCTCAATAAAGGAGTGTTTTGAGACGTCTCAATAAAGGAGTGTTTTGAGACGTCTCAATAAAGGAGTGTTTTGAGACGTCTCAAAAAAGGAGTGTTTTTGAGACGTCTCAAAACACTCCTTGAAAAAAAGGCCACGTGAAAAAAGGAGTGTTTTGAGACGTCTCAAAACACTCCTTTTTTCACGAGACGTCTCAAAACACTCCTTTTTTCACGAGACGTCTCAAAACACTCCTTTTTTCAAGAGGGGGGGGTAGCGAGCGGCATGAATGGAAGGGACAAGCAGCGGCGGGAAGGGCGGCCCACTGGTGCGGGTGAAGGGGTTGCGGTTCTCCCTGGAGGTGGCGCGGGTGGTGCCGCGGTACGTGGTGGTGGTGGGCGATGAGAAAAGGCTGCTGCGGTTGATGCTGCACCTCATTGGACGGGCTGTGAAGAAGACGGATGAGGTGAGCGGGAGAGAGGTGGGTGGGGGGGGTAGTCTCGCTGCTGGTCTGTGCTTCAGTGGTGCCGCGGTACGTGGTGGGCGATGAGAAGCGGCTCTTACGCCTCATGCTGCGCCTCATGCTGCGCCTCATGCTGCGCCTCATGCTGCGCCTCATGCTGCGCCTCATGCTGCGCCTCATGCTGCGCCTCATGCTGCGCCTCATGCTGCGCCTCATGCTGCGCCTCATGCTGCGCCTCATGCTGCGCCTCATGCTGCGCCTCATGCTGCGCCTCATGCTGCGCCTCATGCTGCGCCTCATGCTGCGCCTCATGCTGCGCCTCATGCTGCGCCTCATGCTGCGCCTCATGCTGCGCCTCATGCTGCGCCTCATGCTGCGCCTCATGCTGCGCCTCATGCTGCGCCTCATGCTGCGCCTCATGCTGCGCCTCATGCTGCGCCTCATGCTGCGCCTCATGCTGCGCCTCATGCTGCGCCTCATGCTGCGCCTCATGCTGCGCCTCATGCTGCGCCTCATGCTGCGCCTCATGCTGCGCCTCATGCTGCGCCTCATGCTGCGCCTCATGCTGCGCCTCATGCTGCGCCTCATGCTGCGCCTCATGCTGCGCCTCATGCTGCGCCTCATGCTGCGCCTCATGCTGCGCCTCATGCTGCGCCTCATGCTGCGCCTCATGCTGCGCCTCATGCTGCGCCTCATGCTGCGCCTCATGCTGCGCCTCATGCTGCGCCTCATGCTGCGCCTCATGCTGCGCCTCATGCTGCGCCTCATGCTGCGCCTCATCGAGCGGGCTGTGAAGAAGACGGATGAGGTGAGCGGGAGAGGAACGGGGTCAGGGAAAGGATTGTGGCAGCAGGGGAGGGTGGGAGGGGCCGCTGGTGCGGGTGAAGGGGTTGCGCTTCTCCCTGGAAGAGGGTGAGTGGGGGTGTGGACTGTCTGTTGGTGAGCTTTTGTCAGGCGATGAGAAAAGGTTTCTGCGGCTGATGCTCCACCTGCTCGCTTGGGTGAGCCGTGAAGGAGGCGGATGAGGTGAAGTGGAGAAGAGAAGGAGGTTCGGGAGGGAAATTGCTGAGTGGGCTCAACCTCATTCGGGATGGTTGTATCCGTTTTTTTTTAGTGGGCTCAATCAACCGTCCTGCTACTCTTTCCCTTCCTCTGCCGGTCTCAATCTCAAGCCCCCACTGCCCCCCCTTATCCCCCCATCCACCCCTCCGTTCCTCGATTCCCCTCTCCCAAGCAGGGCTTTGTGTCAGTGCGCGTGTCAGTAAACGACGGGCAGACTCAACCACCCCACTCCTCCCACTCCGCCTTCACTGCCGGCGATGGCCCTGCCATTGCTTCCTGCTGCCGCTGCCAGACCCCTCAACCCTACCGCCTCTCTCCCTTCCTCTTCTGTGTTATCACCTGCTGCCTCCCCAAGCAGGGTTTTGTGTCGGTGCAGGTGTCAGTGGATGATGGGCAGACCTCCCGCCCCCACTCCTCCTTTACTGCCGGTGAAGGCCCCACTGCTGCATCGTTCCTCCCTGCTGCTGCTGCCATTGGGACGACCCCTCAACCCTACTGCCGCTTTCCGCTCCTTCGCTGTTGCATTCACCCCATGTTCCCCCAAGCAGGGTTTTGTGTCGGTGCAGGTGACAGTGGATGATGGGCAGACCTCCCGCCCCCACTCCTCCCACTCCTCCTTCACTGCCGGTGATGGCCCCGCTGCTGCATCGTTCCTCCCTGCTGCTGCTGCGGCAGCTGCCGCCGCAGGGGAGAATTCGCTTGGCCTCCAGCCACACACACCGTGGGAGGTAGGAGTTGATCCTCTGTGGAATGGAATCAACTGTTCTGTTGCTGTTGTCTCAAGCCCATGCAAGGACCCATGTGGCCTCACATGCTTTTTTTTTTCGTTTTTTTTTTCTTCCGACTCAATTTAAATCTCATCGTTTGGTCATCTATGCAACCCGTCTCGCCCCTGCAGCTGTTGTTGGGTCAAGACTTGGTGAACATTCGTGTAGATATCAAGGACTCGGGGTGTGGGCTCACTGCCATGGAATTCAAACAGCATGAGGCACTGCTGCTGCAGCAGCAGAGAGCGAGTGATGCGGATGGGGGGAGTGGAGCAGGAGGAGGAGGAAGAGGAGAGGGGCAAGGAAACGGAGTAGAGGGAGCAGGGGAAGAGAGGAAGGGAGGGACGTTGCTAGGGTTCGAGATCTGCCAGAAGTTTGTGCAGCTGATGGGGGGGTACATTTGGATTGAGAGCGATGGAGAGGGGTTGGGTGCGACGGTGACGTTTGTAGTGCGGCTGGTGCTGGATCGAACCAAGAGGCAGAATGTAGGGTTTAGGGAGAGAGGGGGGCGGGTTTCTAGCAGTAGGGCGAGGAGGAGAGGAAGAAGGGCAGGTCTTGTTGGGGTTGGTGGAGGAGATGAGAGGAGCAATGGATTGTTATGGAACAGTGGGTTCGATGGTGCTTGTGATGGTGTGGATGGGGCTGAGGGCAGGGGAGGGGGGGCGAGGAAGGGTGGTGAGGAGTATTCGTTTATGGATGGGGATGACGATGATGAAGACGACGAGGAGGATGAGGAGGATGAGGAGGATGATGATGAGGATTCGGCCTTCAGTGACAGCACGGTTTCGTCGATGGATTCTTATGTACAGGAGCTGGAAGGGGTGCATGTGCTGGTGAGTGCATGTGCCGGTGAGTGCATGTGCAGGTGAGTGCATGTGCTGGTGAGTGCATGTGCTGGTGAGTGCATGTGCTGGTGAGTGCATGTGCTGGTGAGTGCATGTGCTGCTGAGTGCATGGATGTGTGCATGTATGTCCTCTCTCCAGTCCTGCTCACTTGTGGCCCTTTTCCCCCTCGTCACACTGTCCCCACCTCCCCTCCCCCCTTCCAACACCCTCCTTCCATCACTCTCCCTTCCGTTGCCCACTTCCATCCCTGATTTCCGTCCCGCTTTCCCTAACACGTTCCTTCCTCTTCCCTCCCTCCTCCGCTCCTCTCCCTCAGCTAGTGGAGGACAATGTGGCGAATCGCATCGCGACGCATCAGATGCTGCTGACGCTGCGGTGCCACGTCAGCAGCGTGGGCAGCGCGCAGGAGTGCCAGATGGAGCTGACCACGCGCAAGAGCCCTGCAGTCCCGCCAGTGGATGTCGTGCTGCTGGATGTCTGCATGCCAGACGTTGACGGCTTTGAAGTCGCCCGCCGCATTCACTCCCTCTTCCGGTGCGTTCTCTTCCGCCGCCTCTTCCGGTAGGCTCTCTTGCAGTCGCCCCTTTCACCCCTTTGCCGGTGGATGTCGTGCTGCTGGATGTCTGCACGCCGGACGTTGATGGATTTGAGGTTGCCCACCGCATACCCTGCCTCTTCCGGTATGCTCTCTTGCAGCCCCTAATTGGGTATCTAGTTTAGAGAGTTTCAGGAGAATGTGCGATCATTGTGCTGGTAGTTTTGACGGTGACTCATTAAGAGTCGCCTTCATGCTTTACAGCAATGGTGTTCTGTTTTATCTTCCGCATGCCCGTCGTCCTTCTGTTCTGTCCCCTTGGATTGGGTACCTGGAGAATCCAGGACAGATTTTCAGTTGTCTTCCAGCCCACCGTGCACCTGATGCGCCTCCGCTAGTCGCTTTAGCCTTCTCCTCTTTCCCAACCTCCAATTGCAAGCCAACCTTGCTTATGTGCCTCATTTCTACGGACGACTCCCCTCAAATGTTCCTTTCCTGTCCAATGGCAGGCCTGACGAGCGGCCTCTGATTGTGGGTCTCACTGCACGCACGGACAGTGGCATGGCGGAGGCATGTGTAGCAGCTGGCATGGATGCTGTATTGCTCAAACCAGTCACAGTTAGACAGCTGGCAGCTACTCTGTGTCACGTGCTCAATGGCGTGTAAAAGGGCGACATATGCAGCTTATGATGACGTACGGTATGCGTCCGTTTGGTGGGAGCTGTTACACATCCTTGTACACAACCAACATATCTGTGCAATTATCGTGATATTTGTAGCCCAGCTGGTTGTACTTGCACCAGTAAACATATAAGATACAGTCTTCCTTCAAGATGGCTTCTTGGTGGCATGGCAAGTCCTCGCTTGTTTGCATCTGTAAATCGGAATCTTAAAGCTCGCAGCCCAAATTGTTTGACCTTAGTAAGGTTGACCTTGGGGTGGCGAGAGAAGAAGTTGACTTGTTGGGAGTTGGGCTGTTCGCTTTCGCCCAGTTTCGCGCTAGACCCTTGGGGTTTTCGTTGAGACGGCAAACCGCTGGGAGCAACCTGGGTTTGCTTCGAGAGTCCCAAATTGCAATCAACATATTGTTGTTGTTCCCTGCTCTCCCATTCGACAAAAAATATCTGGCCAATCAGATTGCATCTCACTTCTCGTAACCACCCTTCGCAACCCAAACAGCACTCAAAACATCACCCCCGTCAACCTTAGTAAGCTTGGCCAGCGCGCCCCGCAATTTGGGCTGCAAGCTTTAATTTCAATTATCATGTACTGCAGGATACAACAATCCATGTCTTAGGTCATCATTCACAAAAACAAGCTCCAGCAATCCAGCAGGATTCCAGCCATGTGGCACTTGCAAGCAACATATCTATCACCCTGGAGGAAGCTGTCAACATGGAAGCCAAACTGGTTACATCCAGACTGAGATCTTTAGGCCAGTGCAGCAAGGGTAGCAGCAAAAAGGACAGCTAGTCCAGCGCCAAGCAGGGAGCCAGAGGATGCAGCAGCCTTGGGGGCAGGTGGGGGCGAGCTGGGAGTGGGGCTAGGAGGGGGTGAGTGTCAAAATGAGGAATGATGATGCCATTGATGTTGGTTGGGGTACATATAACAAACCCTAACTTCTGTACCCCCTAAGACAAACCTCACTACAGGCTACAACATTTGACACACCCCCATAGCCTAAGTGAGGGGTGTCTAGCAAAATAAAGAAGAGTACGGTCACAAGACCAGTCCAAAAGAAAACAAAGCTCAGGGTGGATCACAACGTCACCACACTCTCTGAGCACAAGCAACAGTGGCCACAAGGCCAGTCCAAGAGATCACAAGTATATATAGCAAGAGTACAGACGAAGGAGGCAATAAACTCAAGCCTACACATGACTAGAACCTGTGTCAACAAGGCCTAACTGCACACAACACCTCTGGTGGTCACGAGGCGGAAGCGCCTTGGTGAAGATGTCTGCAGTGTTGGCCTCGGACTCCACAAACTCGAAGCGAGCCTGTCCACGTCTCTGCAACTCTCGCAGAAGAAAGTACCTGACGTGAATGTGCTTCACTCTGCTCTCCAGTCGCGGATCACGACAGAGGAGGATCGACGCCTTGTTGTCAGTGAACAAGGTCGGTGCAGAGCTCGGCCGCTCACCAAGGTCGGCGAGCAAGAAGGTCAACCAACGCAACTCCTGTGCCGCCATGGCACCAGCGTAAATCTCAGCCTCAGCTGTAGAGGTCGAGACAGAAGAGGAGCGCGTGGAACGCCAGGAAACAGCTCCAGAACCCAAACTGAAACAGTATCCCTGAGTAGACCTGTGAGTCTCAGCGTCGTCAGCGTAAGAGGAGTCACAGTGACCAGTGAGTACGACAAACTGCTGCTCTCCAAGAACTAGCCCCACGCCTGATGTAGTCGCTAGGTACTTCGCCACCCTCACAGCTGCCGTCCAGTGAACAGGACGGTGTCTCCCTGGCGCAACAAAGCGCGCAAGGATGCTGAGAGGGAAGGCGAGGTCCGGGCGAGTACAAGTCATCAGGTACATGAGGCAACCCACAAGCTCTGCGTAGGGACCACTAGGCTCAAACGGCTCGTCAGGAAAGGGACCAGTGAGTCTGTGGTCAACAGCGAGAGGTGTGCACTGTACGGTGGAGTGCTGAAGCCCGAACCGCTGAAGGACCTGCTGCACCATGTGTGACTGTGAGAGTGTAATGGTGCGAGCGGCTCTGTCCTTGGTGATCTGCATGCCAAGGTAGTGGCGCAGCTCACCAAGATCAGTGCACGTGTGTCTCTTCTGCAGTTTGGACTTCACGTCTGCCAAAGCAACCCTGTCCGGAGTGGCGAAAACGAGGTCGTCGACGTAAACCAGAACAAAGAACAGTGTGGAGCCACGACGAACGAACAGCGACGGGTCGGCAGAAGACGGCTGGAACCCAAGGTCAGAGAGGGTAGAACGCAGAGTGTCGTGCCACTCACAAGGGGCCTGGCGAAGACCGTAAACAGGTCGCCTCAGCCTCCACTGGGTCCCAGGAGGGAAGGTGCCAGTGAAGGCCGAGGGACGACGCAACCAGACCTCCTCGTGTAGGTTGCCCTAAAGGAAAGCAGTGGAGAAGTCGAGAGAGTGTAACTCGTAGTCTCTCTGTGCTGCTACGTGTAGTAACACCCGAAGAGTGGTCATCTTCGGGGTAGGTGCGAAGGTCTGAAAGAAGTCAACTCCCTCGCGCTGACTGAAACCTCTAGCCACGTAGCACGCCTTGAAGACCGGGGGAGATCCCGGTGGCCGCTTCACCCTGTAGATCCACATGCCGTCGACTACGTTCGCCCCAGGGGGGGGAACCTCATCGACGTAGGTGCCTGTGGATCTGTAGGAGGCCATCTCTGCGTCCATGGCAGCTCTCCACTGAGAGGCCCAAGGCCCTGACACTGCCTCAGCGTAAGTGCGAGGAGTCGGAATGTCAAGGGCGTCGAGGTCACCCTCAGGGGCGAGGAGCATGGCACAGAGATGAGGGGAAGCGGCCGCCAGGAACTCTAGCTCAAACTGCCTGTCCTCTAGGGCGTCACAGCCAAGGGCAGACACACCCCCGACGGCCAGAGGACTGGTAGGAGGAGCAGCCACAAGCGTGGTGGCGTAGTCAAGGCGGCGAGTAGAGGCAAAGTCAGTAACTGCGGCAGTAAGAGCGGACACATAGGACACAGAGGCACGAGGGTGAGTAACAAGAGAGGCGAGAACACGAGAGAGAACAGGACAGTACGTGCGGTAGTAGTCAGTGACAGGAGTAGGGAGCGACACAGTGAGGGCCGACTCAGGAGGAGACGGAAGCACAGACTAAGACGGACGAGGTGGACTAGAAAGAAGGAAGGCAGTACGAAGATCAGTGAAGGGAACAGGAGACGAGGGACGAGCACGAGGGGAGCGACGAGTAGCCCAAGAACGAGACGGAGGAGGAGAGGACAAAGGCGGAGAACTGGGGAAAACAGCGGGGGAGGAGTCAGGAGGAGGAAACGTGGGACCGTAGATAGGAGGAGAGGCGGAGGAGGGAGGAGAAGGGGAGGGGAGACCAAGGGTCCGAAGACCCGAGACAGGAGGAGGAAGTGGCTGCTGCTGCTGCTGCTGCTGCGTCTGCTGCTGCTGCGGAACCGGCTGCTGCTGAGACTGCTGCTCCTACGGGTCCAGCTGCTGCTGCTGCTGCTGCTGCTGCTGCTGCTCCTGCGGCTCCAGCTGCTGCTGCTGCTCCTCCAGCCGCTGTAACTCCCTCTCCTCTCTCTCCAACGCCAGCTGCTCGTCACGGGCACGGCGAACACGAGCCTGGTGCCTAGTCGGGTAGGGGTGGGGGGGCGGAGTAGTGTCCGAAGCAGCGGTAGCTCCAGAGTCCACCCCCGAAGAACCAGGCGCACCACCCCCAGAGGCAGCACCAACACCAGCTCCAGACCCAGGCTCACCTGAACCCGAAGGAGGCGCACTCTCACCCCCAGTGTCCGCGCGACCAGCACCAGCTCGACCAGCACCAGCTCCCGGACAACAAGAGTCCTCTGCACCCACCAGGTCAGCTCCAACTCCAGAAACAGAAACTCCAGCTCCAACTCCAGCTCCAACCCCAGCACCCCCAGAACCAGAAACTCCAGTGCCAACTCCAGCTCCAACTCCAGCTCCAACTCGAGCTCCAACTCCACCACCCCCAGAACCAGAAACCGGTACAGGAACAGGCGCAGCACCAACCTCTCGAGAGCTAGCACCTGCGGCACGCTGCGAGGAGGACTGTGGGGAGGGAGGCTGTACCGGAGAGGCTACCGAAGGAGGAGGGGTAGCCTGGGACACACCCGACGGGGCTGGACCAGGGGGGGGAGGCTGTACCGGGGGAACAGGAGGGGGAGCGGCAGACAGGAAGAGGGGGGGAGGAGGAACCTGGAGACCTCGACTGGGGTACGTGACGTAGTACGGAGTGGACTCCTCGAAACGGACGTCACGGGAGTCAAAGAACCGGTGAGAGGGAGGGTGGTAAAAGGTGAAGTCAGAGGAGTCCTCAGGGAAACCAAGGAAGACACAGGGGACGGCACGAGGCGAGAGCTTGTCCGCGGAGGTGTCGCGGACAAGAGCCAAGCACCCCCAGACACGAAACCGCGACGCAACACCAGGGGACCCTGTCCAAAGACTGGTCGGTGAAACCTCTGCTCGAGAGACACGTGGCCAGAGGTTCAGCTGGTGCGCGGCGTACCTGACCGCGTAGGGCCACAGAAAATGGGGGGCACAGGCGTGAGTCAGGGAGGTGCGGGCGATCTCCATGACCAGGCCTATGCGGCGCTCAGCAACCCCATTCTGCTGTGGGGACTCTGGAAGCGTCCAGGACTGACGAATGCCCTGCTCGCGACAGAATCCAGCGAGAATGCCGGAGCGAAACTCACCCCCACGGTCGGAGTGGAGGCAGCTGACACGACGACCACGAGTGTCCTCGGTGGTGAGCAACCACCTGATCAGCCTAGAAGTCACCTCAGACTTCTTTGCCAGAGGGAACACTGTGGTGTAGCGGGAGAAGTCGTCAACGACCACCAGAAAGTAGCGCTCACGCTCAGGGCCTAGACGAGGGGCGGGGCCCCAGACGTCCAAGTGAAGCGTCTCAAAAGGCTCGGTGGCCGGACGAAGGGAGGAGGAGTGAGGGGCGGCGCGCAGCCGACCCTCGACGCAGGGACCACACGGCGGCGCAAGCGAAGGCGGCAGCGACGGCAAGACACGTGGGAGGCCTAGGACAAGACGCTGACTAGACATAGCGCGCAGACGAGGAAGGGACGGGTGCCCCATCCGGTGGTGCCACAGAATGGTGGGGTGGGCAAGCGACCGGCAGGAGCACGACGCAGCGACTGGAGCACACGTAGGAACCTACAACATTTGACAGTGAGCTAGGAGGGGATGAGCTGGGAGGGGTAGCAGGAGCAGTTGCCGTTCCTGGAACCTCAGGAGTAATGGTGGCTGAGCAGGCAGGGATGATGGGGTTAACCACCTCCGTGGGGTCCAGGGTTGAGCAGTTGGCTGCAGAGACCACCGCACCCGTCTCCAACTGCAAAAGCAACACCAGAAGTGCAATTTAGCATGTTGCACATAGTTACACTTACTGTTGACAAAATTGGAAAACGGTATTTGGATCAAAGATTTGCCAGAAAAGGCTGAGGGTGACACGATACACACCTGAGCAATATTGTTGAAAAAATACTTTTTGGGAGCAGGCACATCGCCAGGATGCATGATGGAGATCAGATCGGCAAGGACCACCTGGGGCTGAGCAATGGCGCTCTCATACCAGTCTGCACATGAGATGGTCAGATAAGACCAAGGTTAGTACTGGCAAGAAAAGGATGGTTCCAAATGTGAAGGGACATAACCTCAATTGTTTACCAGTGGCATAGTTGGGAGCTCCAGTGGCGCGGCCATACATGCTCCAGACATTGGGAGTGGCAAGGAATTTGTAGGTGGCAGTGTCAATCACAGAAATGCCGGCATTCTTTGCAAAGACATCAATGCTGTAGTCTGACGGGCCAGTCAACAGGTAGGTCTCGTCAATGACGATGTCAAGAGTCTGCCATTGCGACAAGGATTGTCCAATTGTTCAGCTCAGATATCCGTGACTGAATTCCATGATTATTAACCATAGCAAAGTGAGGATGTCTTACCGCAAGCAGAGACTGGAAGGACTTCTTATCAGATGGAAGAGACATGTTGTAGATCCTAAAATACGCCTTTGGGGGGCTCACACCCCCAGCGTCCGCAACGTACTGAAAGAAACGAATTGCACGTTAGAGTTTGATCATTTTAAGTTTTAGACACAGCGAGCACTATACTTGGCAGATAGTCAAGACGCACCTGAAGCTTGTATGTAGAACCAGAGACAGACCACAAACCCTGTAAGGGAAAACATAAAACAGGAAAGTTAGCATCCAGAACAGCTGTAGTATACTCTCTGACAACATTTTCTCACTGTTTCAGACTCACCATGTAATAGCCCATCCAGCCAACCATAGGAGTGGTGGTTTTGGGAGCAGATGCTTTCAAACAGTTGTACGACGTCTCAATCTGGAAAAGTCAGACAAGCAAGGCAAGGCAAGGCAGAAAAGTTACTTTAGCATTTGAGTCAGGTTTTATCTGATCGCCAATGAACTCAACAGCTTCGAAATAAACAGAAGGCTTACGTCAGAGTAGACTTGCGACGCGCGCGACTCAGCATTGAACCACAGAGCCATGTACTTGATCCACTCCGCGCGCTGAAAGACATAAAATAGCGTCGGATTAGGACCGTAACCTACATGTATTAAATCAACATAAAACAGAGGATCCCCTGAAACATGCAGGCCGAGAACAACAAATGCTTCATGTTCACCTTGAGAGGCCCAGGGTCGGTGGAGGTGTCCACCGAGATATAGTTCATGGGAAATGGCTTCAGGTTGTTCAATCCGGCAAAAACCGAACCAGGGAACAGGCCGTCGCTCTCATTGAAGACCTTCATGGCACCGTCAGCAACGAGCTTCTGAACGCATGGAGCTACAGAGTAGCTGCTCGTCTCTTTGAGAAGGCTGGTCACGCCAAGCATCTGAGGGTGAGGTAAGAACGATCTTCTCAGTGACAGCCTAGTGAAAAGGCAACATTGCTTAATGGTTATTGATACCATGCATGCATCCAGTGGATGTTACCAAAATCTTGGAAAAAGGCTAACTTACCTGGACGAAGCTAACTGAACGGTTCGTAGGCAGAACGATTTGAAGGAAGCCAACATTCAACAATCACAGCAGACAAGTTAGAGCACTGCCACGAGGTAGGCAAATGAAGTTTGGAGCGAGAGGGTATAAAACACAGCGAAATAGCGCCCCACCTGCAACAGACGAGTCGACGGCGAAACCCTTCAGGGGAATCTCAAAGAACCGGGTGGTGGCAGCAGGAAAGTTTGAGGGCTTAACAGCTCCACACTGACAAAGGCGATAAAGACCATAACACACAAGTCAGAACACATCCAGGAGTTTGAGGACTTAACACACCGCAATGTGCTGATCTGGTGCTGAGTTTGAGGGCTTAACAGCTCCACACTGACATAAGCAGATAATACCGGAGGAGCGAACACGACCACAAAGGGATACACAAGTAAGGACGCATTCCGGAGTAGTGAACACGACCGCAATGTGCTTCCAGATCTGGAGCTGAGAACGGGATTTAGTGGATGTACCTGATAGAGGACATACGTAGTGTTATCATAGCTGTCCTTAACGACCTTGTAGTAGTTACCGTACTGCACTGTGAAGTCATTCGCAGTCTCCACAATGGTCTGGCTGATCGGCAGAGCAAACGGCTTATTCTGGTACTTGTCCGGGAAATAGTTCACGGTGGGATCGAAGTTCGTGATGCAGCCATCCTGAGCTTGCTGTGCAGACGAAGCCTGAACGGCCAGCGAAGCCACCAACAACGCGATCAGTGGGTAAGCCATGGCTTGTCTTCCTGAAAGAAAGCCCAGCAAGCAACAAATTATGAAATTGTGACAAGACTCTTCAAGGATGCTGCAATGCAGTCGTCATAGTATTATCATCAATTTGTACATGGCACACAATATATATATACTAAATAGCAAGAACAAGCAGTACACACTATCTAAGCATCTAAGCGTCCTAGGGGTGCGGCGGGCGGGAACTCAAACTGAGATGGATGAAATGAGACTAGGTGGCAGGTCCGTGGACCTGCCGAGGGATAAGAGGGGAATGCCTCCTTATTGCATTCCCCCCTTTTCGAATCTTGTCACAATCATTAAATTTAGAAATTTATTTCTAAATTATTCATATATAATTTTTGGGGGAGAGGTGGGATTATGAAGAGGGAGGCGAAGGAGCGCCGAGCAGAAGGACGCGACGTCAGCGTGCAGGAGTCGTGGCTGGGAGGGGGGGAGGCGAGGAGGGGGGGGGGATGCGGGAAATGCGCAAAAAAAAATCCACCCTCCTCCCCGGAGGAGGAGGGGTGTGTTGGCCGCCAACAGCATAGCGGAGGTCGAAGCGAAGGTTTTACTCTACAGTATAAGGAGCGCATGCATTGCGGCTGGTGCCAGCCGCGGCCACGTCGGACAATCGGCAAAAGCCCCCTGGCTGGGGAAGCGCCATAGGACACCGCTAACGTGGCCGACAAGCAATCCAGTGCCACACAGCATACTACAGTGGGCCAATATCATCTGGGCTCAGATTGCCTGTGCGGATTTGCATCTGTACTCAACCGACAAAAACACAGTTTTACGAAATAGCGACTGGGAGTTCTGGCATGTTCTTCTATAGGGTCACAAAACAAAGATGAACAGCAACTCACTCACACATACCCATGGTTAAAACATAAATATAAAACCAGTAGATAACCTGGACAAATTTTCGGGAAAAATCAACCTTAAGGGCGGGAACAGCACGTACGTTTACAATTCTTCCTCAGTTCATCTATTTACTTTAAGAACATTGTAACGTTGCACAATTGATACAGGCAAGCATTCTGAATTTGTAAAAAAAACTTGGTAGGCCATTAAACGGATTTTCAAGGTACTACAGTGTGGAATGCAACAATCCATGTGACAATTCTCAGACACAGGCTCCAACCCAACCATCAAGCGGACTTTTAATCATTTGGCACTAACAAGGACATGTCTTTGAAGACAGCTCACTACACAGAAGCCAACCTGGATACATCCAGAATGGATACCTCTAGACCAATGCTGCAATAGTAGCTGCAAGAAGGGCAGCTAGACCAGCGCCAAGCAGGGAGCCAGAGGATGCAGCAGCCTTGGGGGCAGGTGGGGGCGAGCTGGGAGTGGGGCTTGGAGGAGGTGAGATGGGAGGGGATGAGCTGGGAGGGGTAGCAGGAGGGGATGCCATTCCTGGAACCTCAGGAGTAATGGTAGCTGAGCAGGCAGGGATGATGGGGTTAACCACCTCCGTGGGGTCCAGGGTTGTGCAGTTGGCTGCAGAGACCACGGCACCCGTCTCCAACTGCAAACGCAACACCAGAAAAGCTAGTTAACATGTTGGGCATAGTCACACTACTGTTGATTAATCTGGCAAAAAGGCATTTGAATCGAACACTGGCCAGGAAAAGTGGGGGTAGGAAACACACCTGGGCAACATTGTAGAAATAGTACTTCTCGGGAACGGTCACGTCGCCAGGATGCATGATCGATATCAGCTCAGCAAGGACCACCTGGGGCTGAGCAATGGCGCTCTCGTACCAGTCTGCACATGAGATGGTCAGATAAGACCAAGGTTGGTAAGAAACAAATGTTCCATATGCAAGAGAAGCAACCTCACTTGCTAAACATGAGAAACAAATGCGTACCAGTGGCGTAGTTGGGGGCTCCAGTGGCGCGGCCATACATGCTCCAGACATTGGGAGTGACAAGGAACTTGTAGGTGGCGGTATCAGTCACAGAGATGCCAGCATTCAGGGCAAAAGCATCAATGCTGTAGCCTGACGGGCCAGTCATAAGGTAGGTCTCGTCAATGACGATGTCAAGAGTCTGCAATTGCAAAACGGTTTCCCAAGATTGTTCAGCTCGATGGTGACCAAATTCCAGGATAATCAGCCATAGCGAATCAAGGAAGCCTTACCGTTAGCAGTGACTGGAAAGCCTTCTTATCAGATGGAAGAGACATGTTGTAGGTCCTCAAAAACGCCTTGGCGGGGCTCACACCACCAGCGTCCGCAACATACTGGAAGAAACAATAGCACGTTAGAGTTCGTAAATAACAAGTTTTAAACGCAGCACGCACTGCATCTAGCAGACATTTGACACGCACCTGAAGCTTGTACGCAGCACCGGAGACGGTCCACGAATCCTGTTAGGGAAAACAGAAGGCACATCAAACAGAGAAATTAACATCCAGAACAGCTGTTTTACATTCTGAGAACATTTATTCACTGTTTCTGACTCACCATGAAATAGCTCAGCCAGCCAACCATTGGCGTGGTTGTTTTGGGAGCAGATGCCTTCAAGCAGTTGTACGATGTCTCAATCTGGAAAAGCAAGGCAAGGCAGAGAAATTTTAAGCATTTGTAAGTTGGTCCACAGTTTCTCTGGTAGCCAGCAGACTCAACAGCTCGAAAATGAAAAACTTACGTCAGAGTAGACTTCCGACGCGCGCGACTCAGCATTGAACCACAGAGCCATGTACTTGATCCATTCCGCGCGCTGAAAGACATAAAATAGCACCATAGCGTCAGATTAGAGCCGTCTCCTACATAGATTGGATATACATGAAACAGGACATTGACTCGAATAAATCCCGTGATGTGCACCTTGAGTGGCCCAGGGTCGGTCGACGTGTCCAGCGAGACATAGTTCTTGGGAAATGGCTTCATGGTGTTCATTCCGGTGAAAACCGCACCAGGGAAAAGACCGTCGCTCTCATTGAAAACCTTCATGGCACCGTCAGCCACGAGCTTCTGAACGCATGGAGCTACAGAGTAGCTGCTCGTCTCGTTGAGAAGGCTGGTCACGCCCAGCATCTGCGGGTGAGGCCATGACAAATACTTAGTGAAACCGCATGTAGAAAACTTACATGCATGCCACTTAGACGATTCGATTTTTCAAGTAAATTACCTGGACGAAGCTAACTGACCGATCCATAAGGCGGTTCGATGAAAGCATACACACACACAATCACAGCATACAAGTTAGTCAGACGAAATCTGGAGAAAGTACGAAGCAGAAAAAAAACGCAAAATTACGTCCCACCTGCAACTGAAGAGTCGACGGAGAAACCCTTCAGGGGGATCTCAAAGAACCGGGTGGTCGCAGCAGGGAAGTTCGTGGGCTTGGCAGCTCCACACTACAATAAACACAAGAAAAATGGTAATGTGAAAATCAGGCCAGAGTCACAGATTGCGAGCATGATCGCAATGTGTATCCAGATCTGAAGCTGAGAATGGGATGTACCTGATAGAGGACGTAGGTGGTATCATCGTAGCTGTTCTTAACGACCTTGTAATAGTTACCGTACTGCACAGTAAAGTCATTCGCTTTCTCCACGATAGTCTGGCTGATCGGCAGAGCGAACGGCTCGTCCTGGTACTGGTCCGGAAAATAGTTCACAGTGGGATCGAAGTTCGTGATGCAGCCATCCTGGGCTTGCTGTGCAGACGCGGATGCCTGAACGGCCAGCGAAGCCACCAACAACGCGATCAGTGGGTAAGCCATGGCTTGTTTTCCTGAAAGTTTAGTACCAGGAAAACAAGTCTAGCCAGACACTCAATTATAAAATGGAAATCTTTGGGGGAAGTGTTGGGGTAATAAGGAGGGAGGCAAAGGAGCGGAGAGGAGAAGGACGTGACGTCACCACTGTAGCAACAGTGGCTTGCGAGGAGGCAGCTTGCAGGATTCGTGGCTGAGGGGGATTGCGGGGGAAATGCGCCACAGGAGCCAGCCCTCCGTCCGCGGAGATGGAGGGGCCTGTTGGGCGCTAACAACTGAACGGGGAGATGCGGAGCGGAGGTCGAAGAGGGGAGGGGGCGGATTTAGCAATTGCGCCTGGTGGCCACCGCGGCCACGTCGGACAATCACCAAAAGCTCCCTGGCTGAGAAGTGCCTTTGTAAACCGCTAGCATGGCAGACGACCAATCCGGCACCACAAAGCAAATGTTTCGTCTATTGCCCTGATGTGCACAATGAGCCAATCGGAGAATGCATTGAGCTGGTATCGAAACTTTTATGCACAAGTTATCTGCGGGGATCCTGGAGAAACATCCCGCTTACCCTGTTTGACAATGGTTGAATTCACTGTAGCTGACCCTACTAAAACACTGTTCGTTTCTAGGTTTGAGAATCGAAAAGCACACGTTCGCGAATCCAGTGCAGTCACTACAATGTTCCATAGAAATCTAGACAAAGTGGTGTTAAATCAGAGCACTCATCTCGAGATCTCAACAGACACAAGCATAAAGCACACAAATTACATATCCTCTAAAAGTCGTCAGGTAAGTGGGACGTCAGATGCGCCTGCACAGCCAACGCAGCTTCCTGTTTCTCCTCGTGCGTGCGCGGCTTCAACCCCTTGTTAAACTTCTTCTGATACACCCTCAGCGGCACAAACGAGCATGTCACCTTCCTCCCAGCATACACCCTTCCGTGCAACATATGCGCCGCCCGGTTCGCACTCTCCTCTCTTGAAAACTCCACATAAGCCCGCCCAACCCTCCACTTCTCCACCTCCCTCTCCCCCCTCCTCGCCGCATCCACCAAATCCCCCATCCCTTTAGACCCAGCCAGCACAATAGCCCCCGGTTGCCCTGGCTTACCTGCTTCTCCTGGTTTTCCCACCTGGCCCGGCTGGTGCCCCAGCAACCCCTTGCCAGCGGCAGGGGGCGGAGCACCAGGGGCAAATGGGGCAGGGAAGCGGATAGAACCTGGCGCAGCAAGAGTAGCAGCTGGGGTGGCGACACCTGGGGGAGGTACATCTGTGCCTGGGGGGACGAGGATTGCGGGGCGGAAGGGCGCGGGGAAGGTGACTCCTGGGATGAGAGGCATGGGGGGCCCAGGAGCAGGCATGCGCACAGGCACAGGGAAGGCCACTGGGACTCCAGGGGGTTGTATGGGGACAGCAGTGGCAGCAGCGGGTGTGGCTCCAGTGGGAAGAGCAGTAGCAGCAGGGGCTGTGACCACAGCAGGGACAGCAGGAGCGGCAGGTGTATCAGAGGCAGCAGCAGTTGCAGGAGCTGCTGCTGCAGCGAATTCCGGCTTTCTCTCCTCACTTCCCTTGCCCTCCCTGCCCTCCTTGCCCTCGTCTGCTGCTCCCTCTGCTGCCACCGCTGCTGCTTCTTCTGCTGTGCCCTCCTTGCCCTCCACTGTGACCGCCTCCTGCTTCCCTTCCACCTTCTCCTCTTCCCCTTTACCCTCCTCCACTTCCACCTCCTGCTGCTTGCCCTCCGCTGCCTCTGTGTTTCCTGCCGTCTCTCCCTCGCCATCCACCTTTCCTGTAGCTCCCTCCTTTCCCTCACCCTCTCCCTCCTTCCCACTCCCTTCCTTCCCTTCACCCTCCTTTGCCTCTGCACCCTCCTCCGCCTTAGCCTCCGCCCCTCCCTCTCCCTTCTCCCCTTCATCCTCTGAGGCCGTCTCATACACCTCCTCCTTAGCCCCTTCCGCCTCTTCCTTCCCCCCTTCCGCCTCCTCCTTCGCCCCTCCCTCCCCACCTCCACCCTTCCCACCGTCCTCCTCCCCCTCTACAGTCACATTCAGATCAAGGGCAAACCCTCCCCCACCCTCAGCTTCTTTTCCCTCAGCACCTCCCTCCTCCTTGACCCCTGCCGTCTCAGCAGCGGCAGCAGCAGCAATATCTGCCAACCCATCCAACGCCTGTCCTTCCCCCTCACCACTCTTCTCAGACGCACGCACACCGCCTTCCACCTCCTCCACCTCCTCCACTTCTTCCTCCCCCTTCTCCTCCTCTCCCTTCTCTACCTCCCCTCGTGTCTCTGGCACTACCTCCACCACATCACTATCCGAGTCACTACCTTCCTCCTCTGCTCGAGCTACTTCGACCACAGGCTCTCCTGCTGCGCCTTTCCCACCCTCCTCCGCGGCTCGAGCCACCTCAACCTCCTCAACCACAGACTCTCCTGCCGCATCTGCGCCCTCCCCACCCTCCTCTGCCTTCCCTTCACCCTTGCCCTCAGCCTCCTCCTCTGCTTCTTTCATCTCCTCATCCCCTCCCTCCTTTTCTGCTCCCTCCTTCTCTCCCTCCTCCTTCGCTCCTCCCTCCTCTCCACCCTGCTCATCATTAACCACCTCCTTCACATCATCATCCTCCCCTTCTGCTGCTGCACCTCCCTCTGCTGCTCCTTCCACCTTCTCCGCAGCAGCCTCCACTGCCTCTTCACCCACCACTGCATCAGCCTCCTTCATTTCCTCATCCTTACTCTCCTCCTCCTTCTTACCCTCCTTCATTTCCCCATCACCCCCACCCTGATCGTCCGCCTTCTCAGCATCCTTCTCCTGTTCCCCGGTTTCCTCTTTCACTTCCTTAACCGAATCGCCTGCTGCTGCTCCCTGCTCTCCCTCTTTCTCCTCCCCTTCCTTCTTCTCTTCCTTCACTTCCTCCTCTACCTGCTTCACCTCCTTCACTTCCTCCTTCACCTCCACTTTCCCTTCGCCCTTGACCTCCGTTTTCCCCTCTTCCTTGCCCTCCTCCTCTTCCTCCTCTTTGATCCCTTCCAATTTCTCCTTCACCTCTTCCTTCACCTCTGCTTTCTCCTCCTCCTCATCGCTGTCACTGCCGCTATCATCGGGATTGGTGACATCCTTCGGTCGAACAATGTGCAGCGATTTCACGGTGCCAAACCTGCCAATGCAAACGTACAAAATTCCACACACAAAAAATCAGACCGAGTATTGCACACACAAAAATCAGACTGAGTCTTGCACACAGGCGCGCAGCAGACAGGCATATATGCGTGCAAACAGGCATGCAAGTGAAAGTGATAAAAGAGTAATCTGTCAAAAGCTGAAGAACACTAGAGGCATGTCCTCCTCCATGTCTTCAAGGACCACACCACATCACACCGAACCACACCACACCGCACCACACCGCATCACACCGCATCACACCCCACCACAGCCCAATGCTCTCAGCACACACCGCTTGCACTCAAGGCGAATGTCCTCCTCTAGGTCCTCAAACTCCTCCTCGCTCATCGCCTTGAGCTCCTTCTTTGTCATCTGGACGGGTGTGCATCGGCAAGGTGGGAGGGGGTGGAGAGGAAAAGGGGGAGTGTGTGTGTATGTGTTGTGGGTGCGTGTGTGTGGAGGGGAGTGGATTGCAACTGCTGTCAGCACTCGTGGCAATTGTCTTCCTCCAGGTAACAGTAAACGCACCTTCAATGCACCACACATACCAGATTGCAATGAATGCACCAGGCAATACCTAGCCTTACAACTGATGGTTGCAACTAGCATCCAGGTTAAACCAAACGCACTAGGTTACAACTACCAGTTACAACCAACGCAGTGGGTTACAACTAAGGGTTACAAAGGGTTACAAGCAACGCACCAGGCTACAGATCTCCAGAATGCGTGTTGGGGTCTGCATGAGCGGTTTGGCCTCCTCGGGAATGGAGTAGGTGGGCGTGGCGTCAGCAGGGGGCTGCAGAAAGAACAAGGAGGGGAAGGGCAAAGAGGGGGGTGGTATGGAGAGGGTGGGGATTTGGAATACGGATTCCTGCAACGGTGAACGGTTTGGCCTCCTCGGGAATGGAGTAGGTGGGCGTGGCGTCAGCAGGGGGCTGCAGAAAGAACAAGGAGGGGAAGGGCAAAGAGGGAGGTGGTATGGAGAGGGTGGGGATTTGGAATACGGATTCCTGCAACGGTGAACGGTTTGGCCTCCTCGGGAATGGAGTAGGTGGGCGTGGCGTCAGCAGGAGGCAGCAGAAAGCAAGAGGGGAAGAGGCGGAAGAAGGCGGGGGCGGGTGGAGAAAGAGGAAGGATTTGGCAGACGTATACAGTGAGATTGAGCGGCTGTTATTCTCAGTCAGCTACTATTTCTCAGAACAACAATCACACAGTGTGGGCAACAGCATGGTGCAATTTCCAGAAGAGCTCCCCGTCCCCACAAAGCTCTTCGGGTGCATATTGTTCCTGTCGAAGGAGTAAACTGCATCGCACCGTACCTCCTCAGGTGCATCAGGAGTGGCTCTGACGACGGTGAGGATGGCCTGATGGCCCAGAGGCAGCCCGTTCAGTATTTACTCGCTTCAAGAACATAATGCCCTTATCACAACCTTAAAAACCGCACTGTACCTCCTCGGGTGCATCAGGGGTGGCTCTGACGACGGTGAGGATGGCCTGGTGGCCCAGAGGCAGCCCGTTCAGTCATTTCACATGCGTCAAAGACATGTTGCCCTCAATAGAACATAAGAACCGCACTGTACCTCCTCGGGCGCGTCGGGGGTGGCTCTGACGACGGTAAGGATGGCCTGGTGGCCCAGAGGCAGCCCGTTCAGCCCTGCCTGTGCTGCACTCGTCACACTCGGATCCATGTACTGCAGTAACGGGTCATGCAGTAACAGATCACACAGTAACGGGTCACACAATAGCGGGACATGCATTAACAGGGCACACAACAAGGGGTGTTGAGGGAGTAAACACCATGTAGCAGCAGGTGAGCGAAAAAAACGACTAGCAAGGTGAAAGGGGAAAGAGAAGGGGCTGGGGGCGGGATGCGAGAAGAGGGTGGGGTCAAAACATTGCGTGTGAGGGTGGGGAAAGAGGGGGGGGAGATGGGGGTTTAAGGGGGGGTGGGTTTGGGAAGGGTGGGAAAAGTTGGAATCAGTACGAGCTCGAATCTAATTCCAAAACAACGAAGCGAAGGCGAAAGTGGGGCAAGAGATGGTGTGGCGGGGGCTGGGGCCGCACTCGCATGAGCTTGAGGGAATTCATGGTCCAGGGTTTAGGGTGCAACGGAATTTGACTCCAGCAAACGCGAATGCGCTGGTGCGTGAAAACGCGAAATAGCACAGGTGCTGACCTCAGCGAATGCGAATGCGCAGGGGGGCTTGGCGTTGAGATCCAGCTCCCAGCGGAATGCCCTCAGCTGCCCAAGCACCCAGATGCTGGTGCTTGCTTAAACCCACATGGAGGTTTCGGGTACAAGAGACTGACTGACCTCAGCGAATGCGAATGCGCAGGGGGGCTTGGCGTTGAGATCCAGCTCCCGGCGGAACGCCCTCAGCTGCCCAAAAGCTGACAGCACCTCCCGAATCTGATCAGCACGGTGCAGAGGGGTACAGAGGGGAACAGCGAGGCACATGGGGGGGTACAGATGGAGGTGCATCAATAGATGGCGGAGTATGGAGCACGGAGCTTCGAACGTGGTGGAAGAAAAAAAAAGGCATTCAAGGGATGCAGAGAGGCCAAACGGAAAGGAAAAGGCTGCAATGCTGCCAGAGCCATAGCGCTTCAGTGTACCTTTTCATCTGTTAGCGATGGGGGAATGCCGCCTATGAACAACTGCAAACACCATGCAGCATCACATAGAGAAACACATGCACCATCACATGCCCCATCACATGCGCCATCACGTGCAGCATCACATGCACCATCGCATGCACCATCACATGCAGCATCACATGCACCATCGCACGCAGAATCGCATGCAGCATCGCATGCACCATCACATGCACCATCACATGCACCATCGCATGCACCACCACGCAAAGCAGAAGACAGTAAGGAAGGGAAATAACATGAGTGATGAAGCGCCTGAGGATAGCTGAATTTGTTAACCCACCCCGCCCAAACACCTCATTGGCGCACCCACCCTCCCCCATGCCCCACATGCCACACCCACCACCGTTTCACACCTAATCCAAGCTCGCGCGCACCTTATTGGGCCCGTCCGGCACAACGTTGGTGATCACCTCCTTCGCTGCAGCTGCCACTCTCGGCCCTCCCTGTGCCCCACCCCATGCCTCGTCCGAGCCGAGCCCTAGCCCCCCCACGCCCACCCTCCACCTCATACCAAGCTCGCGCGCACCTTATTCGGCCCGTCCGGCACAACGTTGGTGATCACCTCCTTTGCTGCCGCTGCCACCGGCCTGGGCACGCCCCCTCCCCCGAGAGCTATGGCATTCGCGTCTGACCCAGGCTGCATATGGTGGCAGGGAGAGCGGGGCAAATGAAGCAGCGGAAGGAAAGGGCGAGGGGGCGGAGGGAGGAAGGAGGGGGATTAGCTACAACAGACAGAACTGGGCAGATTCTTTCTGGAAAACAATGGATGGGGGGGTGGAGGGAGGCGGGAGGGGGAGAGAACGGAGGAGAAGGGGAGGAGAGGGAAGGGGGGTGGGGAGAGGGGGGAGAGGGGGGGTGTTAGAAGTAAAGCAAGACAAAATACGTTGAAAAGGTGACAGAAAGCGGGGGTGGGATTTTGGGGAAAAGGGGAAGGAAGGGTAGAAATGCGGAAAACGCGATGAAAGGAGAAACTGCGCTACAACCTTTCCGTGAATTGCGAAAAACCGCCTTAACACCTGCACACAGCACTCTCACTCACGGCGTGCATGGGGTTGTAGTCCTTGGGGCGGCGGATCTTGAGCCCCACGCCGTGCAGCACGATGCCGTCCAGCTGTAGCGCGGATGTAGCGTCCTCGGGCTTCTCAAACTCCGCGAATGCGAACCCCTTCTCCTTGTTCGACTGCGCACAGCGAGGCGCGGGAAGAGCGCGGAGAGGGGAGAAGAAGGGGGGAGGGGATGGGGGAGCGCGGGGAACGAAGTGGGGGGAGATGGGAAAACAGTGGTTGGGCTTCTCAAACTTCGCGAACGCGAACCCCTTCTCCTTGTTCGACTAGGCATATAGGAAGCGCGGTGAAGGGCGGAGGAGGGAGCGGGAGAGCGCGAGAGGCGCGGGGAAACGCGCACGGGGGGGGGGGGCAGGGGAGGGTGGGGAGGGTGGGGGGTGGGGGGAGGTAGAGCGCCGGCGCACAGAGAAAATGCGCGGGTGGGCGGCGAAGTGAGCAGGGGCACGGGAAACAACGCGGGGACACGGGTAAATGCGAGAGGGGCCGGGGAAGAGTGAGGGGAGTGCTTACAAGTCATATCCTACCCTAACCCATACGCACGAACCACAACCATCAATTGCTGATCGAAGCACTACCCACAACCACAAAGTACGGACTGGAAATCCAGCGCACTAGCTGCAACCCCAACAGCAACCCCAACAAACTACCCGCAACCCTGGCGCAGCAAGAATTGTGACGGCGATGCAGGGCTTGCGGCAGTCCTCCACGGCGTCGATGGACGCCATGGACGCGTTTACGAACCCCAACAGCTCGTTGTCCGTCAATTGCGGTGATACAGTCCCCCACAACTAACCGCCACCTCAACCCACTAACCGCCGCCCTAACCCACAAGCCACAAGCCCAGCGCACAAGACCGGCACCCCAAAGCAGTAATCGCCACCTCACGCACAACCTCAGCACACTGACCGTCAACCAAACCCATTCACCGCAACCCCAATGCAGCGCAGTACGAACCGTGACGGCGATGCAGGGCTTGCGGCCGTCCTCCGCGGCGTCAATCGACGCCATGGACGCGTTCACGAACTCCAGCAGCTCGTTGTCCGTCACTTGCGGCGCCACGTTCCCCACGTACAGCCGCCGCGCCGGCCGCGTCAGCTGCGCCAGCGATGGCGCCGGCGTCCCCGCCGGCTGCGACAGCAGCCCCGCGCCTTCCGCGCCCCCCCCGGGCGCTCCCCCAGTGAGGCTCGGCGGAAGGATCCCCTGCGCTGCGGCGGCTAACGCCGCCGCTGCCTTCTGTTGCGCCTCCTGCAGCTGCTGCGCAAGCTCCGGGTTCATCGGCGCGGAAGGTTGCGCGGGCGCCAGCGGTTGCGGGGTGTGCTGCTGCTGGTACGACTCAAACCCCCCCGCGTCGTATTGCGCAGCGGGCGCAGGCGGAATGAGATGCTGCTCCTGCGCGGCTGCGGTGATCGCCGCGGCGGTCTGCTGCGCCGCCGCCACCTGCTGCGCCAGCATCGCGGGATCCAGCATCGCGCTCATACCACTCATTCCGCCCATCCCCCCCATCCCCCCCATGCCGCCGAAACCGCCCATTCCGCCAAATCCCATGCCGGCGGTCTGCGTGGCGGCAATTTGCTGAGCGGCTGCCACGTGTGCCATGACCGACGCAATCGCAGGGTCCACACCTTCCGGCCCCTGATCCCACCCGCGCTTCTTCCTCCTCTCCGGCGACGGCTGCTTGCGAGAGCGCGACCCCGGCGACGGCGTGCGATTCCCCTGCTCGCCTTCTCGTCGCCTGGGCGAGTACCCGCCCAGGCGACGGCTGCGACGGTAACGGCCTTCCGGCGATCTACTCCGGTCGCGTTTCTTGTCGCGATCGCGATCGCGGTCCCGGTCCGAACCCCTCTCCCGCTCCTTGTCCTTATCTCTCCCCTTGTCCTTGTCTCTGTCCCGATCCTTATCCCTCCCGCGATCTCGTCCTCTGTCCCGATCCCGGTCCCTGTCCCGCTCGCGATCGCGGTCCTTGTCCCGATCTCGACCCTTATCCTTGTCTCTGTCTTTTTCTCTCTCCTTATCTCTGTCCTTATCTCTGTCTTTGTCTCTGTCCTTGTCCCTTTCCTTGTCGCGTTCTTTCCGGTCCTTGCGGTCTTTCTTCTCCTCCTTGGCCTTTTCGGGTTGCGCTTCCGTCACTTCCACGTCTCCCGTGACTTCCTCCTTATTAGCCTCCTCGTGATCCGCCATGACGCAATTTAACGCTGTCACTAGATGGTGTCTCTTCAGTCCCCCTTGAGCGATACTCCGTGACTGCCTAAGCCAATTAAGCGTCAAGATCTGAGCTGGGCGGATTCAAAACGATTGTACTTGATAAGCAGAGAATAGACTGCTTATGAAAACCAGTACGAGGCTAAAGAAATGACATGCAGTTTTTTGTAGCCCATAAAAGTGCACGCCGCCGAAGCGCACGTGTACAGGACCTACCGTTTCTGGATCCAGACGGAGGACCCAAAACGCGGCCAGGCAAGCAAGCTGGGCACTTGAAGAATGCCAGAAATGCGCTGGGGACCTCGGGATTTGTTCAGGGTTCAGGGAGGAGCTCTGGATGCTGCGGGTGGGGAGGAGGGGAGGTGGGGAAGAGGGGGAGTGAGAAGGCAAGAGGAAGAGGAAGAGTCATGCAGGAAAGTGGAGGCCTGACTGGGGTTTGAACATTCGCGAAGGATGACGAACTGCCGTAAGTGCTAGGCGAACTAACGAATTTCAATGGAGGATGGGTCGCGTCCCGTAGCTACAGTTTTACACTTCGCCGCCACATTATTTTCGTGAGTTTCGCAAATCAGTGATGTAACAGACGGTCCACACAAGCCGTGCCCAACCAAATCTTCCATTCCATCCCCACCACCTCGACCTTGGGCCTGGTTGGTCCTCCACGATCTAGAACCTCGAGATTATCGTTTTTGATTCAGATTCTTCTTTCAGATTTTTGTCAGTTAATTCCTTCACTCACAGATCATTGCGTTGGCGTGCCGACCATGGCTGCTTTGAGAATTCTTAGCCTGTTTCTTGTAGCACTCGGCCTCCTGTGTGTCGTTCAGAATGCGATCGCCGAGACAGCCGAATCTGCTGCCGACGTTCCATTCCTGCTCGTGGCTAAATCCGTCAAGATCAAGAAGATCAAGGAGAACGATGAGGACATTTCGGTGAACATTAAGATTTACAACGCCGGCGGAAGGTAATTTCTTTGTTGGATGTCGTAACATCGTTGATCGTTCATCACATCGAAATCAAATTTCCGTTCTTTTTCCCTCATTTTCCATTTCGCTCGCAGCATCGCGTACGATGTCTCGTTGGACGACGAGAACTGGCCGTCGGATCTGTTTGAGGTGGTCGGGAACACCACCCAGTCCTGGGACTCCCTTGCCATGTAAGTTATCTCGTAGCTTGTCCAGCGATTAGGTTTTCCACTGGTTTCGTTTTTCAGAATCACCTGCACGAAGTCTACCCTTATGCCGATTCTTTTTAGAATAATGCATTGATAGAAGGTGATCAGTTCTGTATACCTTCTCCGTGGCTCCGATCTACGGTGTACACTTATCATTGTCGCAGGGGAACAACGGTTTCGCACACATACGTGGTCAAGCCCAAGGAAAAGGGCACTTTCATCACCCCTCCAGCTACCGTCAAGTTCCGAGTCACATCTAAGGCTCGGCTTCTGGTCAGTCATGCTAACTCACAACCAACAATAATCTAAAGCTAAAAAATCCACGGTTTGACTGGGAATTAAAAAGTTAACATTGAAGACTTCGGGACGTATGTTGGTTTTCGTCAACTTGAATTTGATCATGTAATGTTTATGCTTGCTGATTCGCTTCTCTCAGACGGCCAAGTCGACGGGCGTGCCTGAGCTGGATCTGCTGGCTCCTGTTGATCAAGCCGCCAAGTACCTCTGGGTGAGTCGCCGTTTCTTCTCTTCCCTTCTCTGCTTTTCCTTGTAAAATTAAAGTTTGGGACGAATCAAGCAAGCATTCAATATCAAGATCAGTTATTGTAGAGTGAAGCCCCCATACTTGTTCATCTGCCGTGTGCTTTTTTCCCCTGCTCTGCCTCCCTTGTGTACAACTGTGCATGTGGCATGGCCTTCACGTTCTGATGGGCCGACAATCGTCAACAGCTCAAGGTACGCATTGATGACCCCGAGCTAGGTTACCCCTTTTCTGCATAACTCCTCCGTGTGATTTCCTCCACAGAACCTGTTCCCCCCCCCACCCCATTTTCCAACTTTCTCGGATTGTTCCGTCCATTGCAAATTGCTAGCCTCTTCCCTTCAAATCCTACCTCAATTTGCAACCTTACTTGCACTCTCATTCACGCGCAGTCTCTCACCCACAAGTGATCTCACCACCACACTCCACTTCCCCCTTGTCTCCATCCACCTTGTCACCACTCTTCCCCTCCTCAGGATCTAGCCATTCAGTTCGGTCCTTTGGTGGGAGCGCTTTCCCTCGTGGCTGTGGCAATCCTCATTGTCTTCGCACCCATCACATCCAAGAAATCTTCCAAGAAGCGCCGATAGACAAGATCCGTGCGACCAGAGAGTCCTTCAATGCATCCAAGCAAGTAGGGATTCCCACTACCTGTTAGTGAGCATCCTTGCTTCCCTGCTACGCGACTGACGTTTGTGTTAATTGCAGGTTATTTCATGAAAGCCACTCTTCTATAGATGGAATTCTCGCCACGGCTGTGTCGAATGACCTGCATGCCAGTTAGATGCTGGGTGAGGACTGATGAGGGTACGCCTTGCGCATCAAGTGTAGTCACAACAAATGTATTAGTGCATGCAGGGTGCGATGCAGTGACTACAACGCCATCAAATGCTGTATGCTTCCATTCCATGTACCAAGCATTCTGTGGATCCTAAAATCAATGAGGTAAATTACTAGGGAACATAGTCAAATGTATGCTTCTTCCTCCCTAATCATTACTTGCATTGCAGGAAACACTTTCTGCCCACAAAATCTGTGGAATCCTGTTCACGTTTTTTATTGGATTATTGACAACTGCTCAGGAGTGTGCTTTCAAAACATGTCCCATCAAGACAAAATTGGCCTACAGTCTGAAACCTTCGGCTTTAGCCACTGAGCAACCACTCCATGTGCTGCTGGCTGCCTTGGCTCATTTCACTTGCCCCTACATGCACGAGCGGAGTGAGGTTGCTCAGCCGTGCCAGCAGTACCTGCCTGTGACCAATCTCTTCCACACGCCGCGTCGCCGCTATACTTCTTAGTGCCTGCTCCACTACAATGGCAGTCGGGCGATACGACGGATCCGCATGTGTACACCACACAACCAGATTCTTCACACACTCCAGTTGAAACCCCGAAGGCTCGCCTTTAGAGTGCTCATCCTCCTCCGGTGCTGCTGGTTCTGCATCTGCTGCTGTTGGAGTGGTGTTAGCTTCCCCATCCGCACTGGGGGTCGGAAGGTCGGTGTCGTCCGAATCGTCGCTCTCACTCCGAAAGAATGAAAGCGCTGGTTGGCTAGTGGCGGCAGTTTCACCGGATGCAGGGGTTTGGTGTGCTGGCAAAACATTGAGTGCTCGGGCAAAGCCCCATGCACTTGATAATCCAGGCGTCCTCATTACCTTCCCTACTTGCTGCCCCTCATGCTGGCTCTGCTCCTGCTGCCCCTGCTCCTGCTGCTCCTGCTGATGCTGCTGCTCTTGTTGCTGTTGTTCCAACCCCCAGCTCAGCTTCCCAGGTATACCCCCAGGACTTCTTCCAGGTGTTTTCCTGGGAGTCCTCCACGGGGACCACACACTCACTCTACTGCTCACACTTAACCCCGTAGTGTTGCTGCTGATACTGCTGCTCATGCTGTCAAACCCTCGGATCATGCTGCTGCTGCGACTATCTCGCATGATGCTGCTGCTGCGACTATCTCGCATGATGCTGCTGCTGCGACTATCTCGCATGATACTGCTGCTGCGGCTGTCAAACCCTCGAATCATGCTCCCGCCTCTGCTGCTCCTGCTCATGCTGCTGTCCCGGCTAACCACGCTGCTTCGCAGCATGCTGCTGCTGCGCCCGCTCCTGCTCATGCTGCTGTCCCGGCTGATATCACCACCACCACCACCACCACCACCATGCACCATGCTGCTGCTCCTGCTGCTGATATCAATCTGACTGCTCTCTCCATACCTCTCAGCAGAACCCACCACACTGCCACCACCAATATCACCAGCAGCAGAAGCAGCAGCAGCAGCAGCAGCAGCAGCAGCAGCACCAGCCCCGGCACCAGCACCACCAGAACCACTAGCAGCGCTTGTATTGCGGCCACCTCCGCCTCTGCTGCCACCAGCACCAATGAACGGAGCAGCAAGGGACTGCCATTGCGACATGCAGTTTGGTCCAGGGGCGTCCGATGGTGATAGGACGGGAGATACGCCCTGCCCCAGCTGACCTTGCCCCTCATGCACCTGCACCTGCCGCTGCTCCTGCACCCGCCCCTGCTCCTGCCTATTAGCCTGCCCCTGCCCGAGTGCTTGAATCTCCCGCTCACGTGCTTGTATTTCTTGTGCTTGCGTTGTTCCGTGGGGGGCCGGTTGTGTGGAAACATTTCCTTCACCTGCCCTCGACTGACCCAATCTGGGTATGCCGCGGTAGGAGATCGAGATGGACGGCAGGAGGCGTGAAGTGGACGGCCCAGATCGTGCGAAAGAGGAGGCCGAGGGGAAGGAGGCAGGAGGCGTGGCGCTGGGGTGGAGAGGATGTGACGTGGATGGCTGGGAGAGCGGGAGTAGGAGATGCTGTATGAGCTTTCCCAGGGGAAAAATGTCGTTGGATGGGTGGAAGGGGCCTGGCAGACGGGAGAGAGGAATTTGAGGGGGGTGGGGAAGGGAGAGACATGATGAATTGAAGAAATTTTGAAGAAGGAAAGGAAGAATTTTCAGTAGCGACTCAAGCCTGGAAGAGCAATGGAGAGAGGGCACGAGGAGTGGAGGCAGCAAGGGTAAATGAAGGGTGGGAGCAAGTGCAAGGAAGTTCAGGGCTACTACTAGAGGGACGGGCGGCCTGCATTGGAGCCTTGGATGGAAAAAAAGGGGGGGAGGGGCCACGGGCTATTGGGGAGAAGGTGGCCATGTAAGCCGAAACATCCCTCTCTGCTTACCAAGTCTGCTCAGTGATGGGTCCAGGTACATCGAACCAGCAGCACTCGCATACGCCCACGCATTCCTCGCAGGGAATAGCGCCCTGAGCCTCAGATCCGTGGGCAGGCCGTAGTCCGCAATGACAGCCAGCAGCCCGCTGGCCACTCTGAACGGACTGCTTTTCAGGGGCAGCATGCAGGGCCGGTCTGTGGGGATGCCTGTTGCTGCTGTGAAGAGCGTCACAGGGTCTGCGTCTAGCGGGGCCGAGGCTACCAGCGCGCTGATGTCCACTCCAGGCATCACAGAGGGTCGTTCTGAGTCCGCTGCTCTCTCTGATTCTTTCTCTGATTCTCTCCCTACTCCTCTCTCTGCTCCTATCTCTGGTTCTCTTCCTGCTCCTCTCTCCGTCCCTCTCTCTGCTCTTCTCTCTGCTCCTCGTTCTGTTCTTCTCTCTTCTACTATCTCTGCGCCTCTCTCTGCACCTCCCTCTGATCCTCTCGCTGTTCCTCTCTCCTCTCCACTCCCCTCTCCTCCCACAGCTCCTTCCACAGTTGTCTCTGTCGGTCCCGCTGTCGACGAACCTCGCTCTCTCATTCCCTGCACAAACGCCCCTCTCTCCGCTGCCAGGCTCACGCCTCGCCCTTCCCCTCCTCCACCCCCTCCTCCTCCTCCGGCTGCTCCTGCTGCTCCTATTTCTGCTGACGCTGCCCCCGCCGCTGCTGCTGCTCCAGCTGCTGTTACCCGCTCCACCACCCCAAGCGCACCCCCACTCAACCTCTCTGACCCACCTCTCTCCACCCACTCATCTCTCAACCCCTCGCGCTTCTCCCACAGCAGCACGTTAGCAGGTCCCAAGGACCCATGCACCATCCCCTGCCGGTGCAGGTATGCCAACCCCCCGGCCACCTGCACTAGCACGTCTAACCGCGCCTCCCACCCCTCCATCCTCCTCTCAACGCCCTTCCAAGCCTCTTCCACGCTTGCCGAGCCTGGAACGGGGGTTCGGTCCGGGCCTGACGGGCCAGCTTCGGCAAGAGTGGTGGGGGGTGTGGTGGTAGGGTGGGGGAGCGATGGACTGGCGGCTGCTGCTTGCTCTGAAGCTCTAGCGCTTCGGGAGGAGCGAGTGAAGGAGCGAGTGAGGGAGCGAGAGAGGGAGGGAGTGGGTATGTGGGGCCAGCAGCGGGAAGGGGAGAGGCGGTGTGAATCTGCTGCACCACCACCACCTTCACCACTATCACCACTGCTGCTGCTGCCACCATTGTCATCATCACCATCACCATCATCACTTGCCCCACTAATGCCACCATCCTTCTCACCATCCTTTCCATCATTCCTCTCCTCGTCGTTGCTCTCCTGAGTGGTGGTAGCTGCTAGGACTGCAGCAGCTGCAAGTAGATCAGCAGAGACTCGACCAACAGGCCTCGGAGCAACAAGAAAAGCGCTTTCATCCCCGCCTAGAGCAGCCTCGGTTCTCCCACTAGCAACATCACCTCGAGCACCACTACTCCCACTGGCAGCATCACCCCTACCACCACTCCCTCTACCGACATCACCTCTACCACTACTCCCACTGGCACCATCATCTCTTCCGCTCCTTGCTCTGGCGTCTTCCTGCACTACCGACTCTACTGAGCGCGCCAAATCTGCACCTCCCTGGAAGAATCTGGGGCTTGCTCCTCTTCCCACATACTCTCCTGGTCTGACAGACGTGCTCAAATCCTCAACTGTGCCCGAGCCCCTTACTGTGCCCGAGCCCCTTACTGTGCCCGAGCCCCTTACTGTGCCCGAGCCCCTTACTGTGGCCGAGCCCCTTTCTGTGGCCGAGCCCCTTACTGTGGCCAAGCCCCTTACTGTGGCCGAGTCCCTTACTGTGCCCGAGTCCCTTTGTGCGGGAGGGTCTTCTTGATCTGCCCCTCCCTGAGAAAATCTGAGACTTGCTCCTCTTCCCACATACTCTCCTGGTCTGATAGACGTGCCAGAATCCTCAACTGTGGCCGAGTACCTTAGTGTGGCCGAGTCCCCTTGTGTGTCCAGGTCTTCTTGTGCAGGTGATTCGTCACACTCTAGAATCGCAGCACCAGCGCCGGAACTGCCGCTTTCACTACTCGATCTCCCCTTCGCCTTTCCTCCTCCTTCCCCCTCACTACCTCCACTCCTCCCCTCAGAAGACTCCTCATCCTCGTCATCCTCCTCCTCCTCCTTCTCATCGTCACCATCACCATTATCATCATCATCACTATCCTCTTTTCTACCAGAGAAGCACCCAGCACTGCCACCACCAAGCGACCTCCCACTCCCTCCCGCACCCAATCGCCCGCTACCCCCTAGAACCAACCTCCCACTGCCTCCTGCCCCCGATCGCCCACTCCCCCCTACGCCCGACCCCCCACCAAGCGACCTCCCACTCCCTCCTAGCAGCGACCTGCCACTGCCACTTAAACTGCCACTTATGCTGCCACTTATACTGCCACTTCTGCTGCCACGTTTACTGCCACTTATGCTGCTACTGATGCTACCTATACTGGGGATGGTCGGCAGACGGTTCCGGGCAAACCCGCCATTGCGAAACCGCTTGGGCTGCGGAATTGACGGCGAGGATCGCTCGGCGAAACCCACGGGGCCATCAGCGCCGTCTGTGGCAGGGGCGATGGTGTGAGGGAGAGCGACGGAGAGGGGACAGGCGAGAGGGAGAGCCTCTGTGGGTGCTGAAAACGGGTCAGTAGCAGTAGCTGATGCAGCTGGAACAGCAAGTGAGACAGCTGCTGACGCAGGTGATGGGGGAGTGGGAGCGGTTGAGTGCGGTAAGTGAGGGTCACCAGGGCCGGGGGCGGATTGGAAGAGGAGTGAGGGCGTGGGGGAGGGAGAGTAGCCGACGAGGGGGAGGAGGGAGGGGTGGGAGAGGCGTGAGAGAGCACGAGCATGTTCCTGATAAGCAACAACCGGGGGGGTTGGGGAAAGGGGGGGAAGAGGGGAGGGGAGGGAAGGGGGGATAGGGGGAGGAGTGAAGCAGGGTGAGGGGGGTTGTTGAGGGGGGTTGCGATACGCAAGAAAGCCTGGGTTTAGGGTTCCACGAGCAAATCTTTCTCGCAATCCCTTCTCTTTCCCAGTCCCGAGAAAACAGCCCCGCCTCGGTCTATCCGTACCTGCAAGGCAGCTTCGGCTTCCCTCGAGAGCGAACAGCCTTGCCCACCAAACCTCTTGACCCTCAAGCCGCTTGACCCTCCCACCGGCCCTCTTGCCGAACCTCCTGCCATGCCTCCTGCCGAGCCTCCTGCCGAGCCTCCTGCCGAGCCTCCTGTCAAGCCTCCCGCCGAGGCGCCTTCATATCCTGCTACGCTTTGCCCAGGTATGGAAAACACTGTGGAGTCCCATCCTTGGCTGACGATACAGCGCTTCGAGAAATGCCACGTGGCTGCAGTAATCCAATCCACGTCATACTCTCTAAAGCCCAATAACGGCTCATCCATTCTAAGAGTACGAGCAATAGGATCGCCGCTACGAACACCAGAAGCAGCGCGATCAGTTGTCGAGCCTGGCTCCGCTGCGACGGCCGGGTTGCTGTGCATCTGCCGAGCCGCGATCGCGCTCACAGCTCCGTCCCCTTGTCGCCCATCCGCGGGCGACGCGGTCGAGTCGTCGCACAGCGGCCGCTCGGCGACGACGGCAGTCGCCGGCGAGCCTGGCGGCGAATCGCCTCGCGTCGCGTGCGGGGATTGGTTGAAGCATGTGAGGAACAGACCATGGGAACTCATGGGAAAGGATGGACCCGCAATGGCGGAACAATCTACTAATGGAATCAGGATTTCTCCACGTCGCCCGTGTACCAATAAGACCTAACGAAGAATAAATAAAAGGTAAGAATAATAGGCATACTCGCGCCCGTTCTGTTGCTAAGAAAGCGATACATCGGACCTGCGGCGCCCCGTTCAGTTGACGCCAGACCCTGGCTTTAACCGGCTCTTCCCCGATCGAACGATCTCCGATTGACGATCTGGTGTAGTTCTAAGGAACATGATCGGACGGCTTAGCTTTCTCGATCGTCTTTCAAGTATGAAACGCCACACAGAAAAATCCTGGGCTGTATGCCTCAAGCGCGCGACTCGGAGGAACAGACGACTTAGGACGGATCGCGAAATCTTGAAATGCTAAATTGCTGAGCAATCTTGCAATGCCTCTCTCCAAATTAGAGCTACTTGTGCTTCAGGCAACGTTGGTCTGCTACTTGTCGTTCGATCCAGTCGCTGCGTGATACTAAGAATGAGAACAGTACGCCGGGGGGTGCATGCACTCAATGCTTCAGGCGACGGAAACGCCAACTGGAGGAGGTAGTGAGTATATACCTTTCCTCTTCAACTTCAAGTTGAGTACAAGAAGACTCTCGTCGGACCATATAGTTAACAACTTGAGTCCTGAAACCCTCTCGCTGATGCTCGCTCGGGTTTTCGCCTGGACTTAACGAGCTCGTTGCGAACGCACACCGCGCGGTGCGACGCTGACGGCGGAAGGGGTCTGCCACACAGCGGTGTGGACCACAGACTCCGCAATAATATCTGAAACTCGGTGAAATAAAATCGACGTATGGGCGAGCGTGCATGCTGCAAGACTCTGTCAATCCAGCCACGCAGCCAACTACAGCTCTCGCCTGCCGTGGCTTCACTTGTGCCGGCTGGTTTGCTGCTCTCCACCCGAAATAGTCGGGAAATTATATATCCAGTCACAGACACTGGCTCGATATTACGACTGATCATCTGGCAATCACGAACGGTCACAGAATCTAGGATCCTATCACGGACGATCACAAAATCAGGAATTCTATCACGGGTACACATTCTTTCTCGCCATTGTGAAATCGGTTATAGTGAAATCAAGATGGGAAAAGCACGGTTAACGGTGGTTAGATTAAGTCTAGGTATGGTTCAATCAGACAGATCGAAGGTAACTAGGTTTTCCATCAGTTCAGCACAGTTCAGTGTAGTGAGAAAGAGGGTGTAGTCACAATGTTGCCCCACGATCTATCACGTACGGTCACACAATGAAACGCTCCGTGGAAAGCTGAAATTTCACGAGTAGCTGTAGAGATTCGAGGAAAGCTATATTGTGCGCGAAAGAAAGTGTTACCTCCGAATAAGTTCGCGATCACTTTCGCAAGCTCGTTCAAAGCATGAAACAATTGTCTTTTTCCCGCAGCAGATTTGCATAACTATATCCGTCCGCAAAAAGAAAAAAGAAAAACTTTTTTTTAACCTCGTATCTGTGGACTTTCGGTATCAACCCTTAACACCTTGTCGTATGGTGTTGGGTTGATGCTCTCTCGGGTGGCATGCCATCTGAGAGGGTTTTAGTTTTTTTTAGGCATGCAAATTTTTGTAACCTTCGCCTCCGCGACTCGCTACGGAATTAACCAGGCTAGGTACGCATATATGACAAGACCAGTCGCCAGTTAAATGTTCATAAATCTCAACAGTTTAAGGCCGCTACAGCTTCTACACCGTGCGTCTCGTCTTGTGACAAAACGTGATAAGTTTTTGGGGCAGCGTGTGACTATCCGTGATAGAAATCCCGGATTTTGTGACCATCCGTTATAGATAGCTAGATTCTGTGCCCGTTCGCGATAGCAGCGTGACTTTTTGTGATGACGAGCCCCTGTTTGTGACCGCCTATATATTAACCCCGAAATAGTCACCTCCTCACCGCATGGTTCTCCTACGGTATCACTTATTACACTTATTACAACCACTCATGATCATGTGACGTGACGTGAGTCGTTAGTCGTGACTCGTGGCTGTGAACCGCATGACAGTGTAGCTTGGATTGGATCTGTTTAGTGTTGGTGGTGGAAGGGGGCTGGTCCAGGCCTGCCGATTGACGGGCATATGCCCTTAATGCCCGGAAATTCGACAGGTTGCCACGTCACCCATCAGATTGGTGTAAAGCGCACAGTCCCCACCCAACGCGCATCGAGAAGAAAAAATGTGACTGCTGTATGGCGAGCGCGTCAGCAGGAAGAGACAAAAAGTTCGTCCACCAATTACATCCTTAGGCCGGCTGCAAGGCTGAATCAATCAAAGGAAAGCCGGCGTTGAAACCACCTTTTCTTCTAAAGCAATCATTTCTCAACTGGAATCCGCTGTATCACTTGCTTGTGGTCACGACACGAAGTTAAACTCCACCTCAACGAACAATTCAGCCCACTAGGATCTTGTCATGTGTTATGTATGCTGAGGCTTGCAATTCTACAATTGCACAATGCTTGTATGTTACTCATCTTTGTTCTCACTAATAATCTGAAGTAGAGAGCACTCCCAAAATGCATTTTCCAACCTGCAACGGTCACATAGTGGGCTCCTCTTATACAAGTACTTTTACAAAACACATGTGGGCCCTGCAGATGGCATTCCATTCCACCCACCCACACCGCAGCAAATCCTGTTATGGCGTGTCACGCCATAGAGCATCTTACGGAATGGCACGCTGCTACGGCACTACATCATGGCATTTCACGGCACGCACGCCATGCAAAACCACATCCTTACCCCCATGGCAGGGCTGCCGTTGCCCCCATGCCATATCATCAGTCTGTCAGTGCCACGCCATACAATGCCACACCATGCCGTAATTCACAATACCATGCCGCACGAATGATACACAGACGTCACCACACCACACCACACCACAGTGACCCTGATCGCTGTAGGGCAAGCAGCACACGCAATGTAGCAGTGGGCGAGGCAAACAGCACAGGGCGGATCTATTAGCGACACTTGTGAACTATTGGAAAGGAGGTTTAACGAGGGTAAAGTACAACCTCAGCGGTCGCCGCATTCCCCGGTCTGTTAGCCAAACCGGCAAAGCGATCACAACGAAGCAATCGAGACGAAACAAACAGTAGACAACTTTGGAGGCGCCTCGAAGGTCAAACCGACGAAGCGATTACAACGAAGCAAGCGAAACGAAACAAACAGTAGCATAGAAGAGCAAAAGCCATTCTCAACGTGTATTTAAGCTCTTAACAAGCGACATCACGCGCTACTGCATATTTCCACACCACTTCACGGGATTGACTGCTCTAAATGATTAGCTTACTCGATACCCCAGCAGCCACACACTCACTTCGAAAGTGATGCACGTGGTAATCACCAAGGGGGCGTCTGTGACACACTCCTGGTGAAGGGGGGAGGAGGGAGGGAGGGATGGAGGGAGGGAGGGAGGGAGGGAGGGAGAGGGAGGTAGGGGGGAAGGAGGGAGAGAGTGAGGGAGAGAGTGAGGGAGCGAGTGGAGCATGGGAGTGAGAGACAGGCAAAGGGAGGGGGAGCAGGCACAGCACGAGGCGGGACTCCCTCAGCACGAGGATGTGCGCCGTCTCGTAGCCCAACACCATCAGACCCCCCCCCCAGCAGCCACACACTCACTTGAAAGGTGATGCGCCGGCTTATCACTACGAGGCGCCCCATCAGCCACACGCTCACCTCAATGGTGACAGTTGGGAGATGCGCAGAGTTATCACAAAGGGGCCGTCTGTGACGCAGTCCTGGAGAGGAGGGTTCGTGGCGCAGGGAGGAAGGAGAGAGAAGGTTTGGTTTGAATTCATGGATAGGAGGGGGAGCAGCCGCACACGCACTTCAAAGGTGATCCGCAGGGTGCTTATGAAGTGACTGTCTGTCACATACCCTGGAACGCCCAACGCCCACCATCACCCAAAGCACGTACCTCAAACACAATCGAGTAGTGGCTATGCTGGTTGTGCAACCACAGGTGCATCTGGTCACTGGCACGTTTCCTTGTACCCTTTATAAGCTGCCTGATTTCTACCTTGGTAAGATCGCAACTCTCTGCCTGAAGGAGGTGTGGGAAGGTGCGGGTTGAAGGAGATGCAGAGGCGGGGATGGGTGGGAGGTGCGGGCGTTAAGGAAGTTAAGGGGCTGGTGGTAGGTGAAGTAATAGACTTGAAAGCTGGGTGACGGCGGAGACCTACCACATGATCCTTCTTCATTCGCTTCTTCCTTCAGTCGAGATGTTAACAGCTACGATGACGATCATGCAAAACGAATTCCGCTTATGTAGTTCATTGAAACCAGTGACAATCGGAGACCCTAAAGAAGACCTTAGAGACGCGTCAAAAAGCGGCGGATTCCAGGCGCGACAATATCTACGACGAGCCATGCGACGAGCCATGAGAAAATAAAAATACTTCCAGCTAACGTCGAACGTCTCTTAGGCTAGCTCAACGCGATGACCGTCGAACGTCTCTGTCGTTGCGCGGATCTAGGGACTGAGAGTTGCGCTTATAGTCAAGTCAGTGATAGCGCTGATTACTTCCCTGACAACTGCGCCAATCCTTTCGCTAATGGTGCGCTAAAGGTCGCGCCGATAGTAGCGCTGATGATAGCCCTGATGATTGCGCAAGTTGCGCTGATTGCTGCGCTGAAGTTGCGCCAATCATTTGAACTTCAAACCCAATTTTTCACCGATTTTTTTGTTGATACGAACTGCACTGAACATGCAATAATTTGAGCAGAGAAATCTAAGTTTCACGACAGAAGTCTGTCAAAGGCCTCCAAGTACAAACTTAGTATGCGTTCTGTCATACGACCTTTCTTCCGTTAGATAAAGAGATACAAAGTCAGCTAAGGTTTCTGAGCAGATCCACTTGAACACTTCCGCCAGCTTCAACTGTTAGGCCCGACGGCCTAAGTCCACTAAAGAATTAGTGGGGTCGACTAAGTCGAGGATGAAACGCGGCGGAAGACTTTGG